ACACGACGACAAGGAGTTGTTCAACTTCAGTCACGAGAAACGAACGTCATTCTACAGATGTCCAAGGTTTTAATTGCAGAAGGCCTCGGCTACAACTTACTCAGCGTCAGTCAACTGATGGCGAAAGGCATTCACCTTGAAGCAGACAGCACAACCCAGGAATTCAAGCTGTACCACGGGAGAGGAGGTCTCTACATCGGCAAGGCGGTTCTCAAGAACAACGTCTTCGTTCTTGACTTCGTCCCCGATCTCGGAACGGCCGACAGCGACGCCATCGTCAACTTCACTGACTGGACACATCCTCCAGATCTTGATCCAGACTTCAGCCCGAGCGGCTTCTGGTACTCACACACCATCCCTGAAACAGAAAGAACAAGGGCGCTGGCGACAATTCAGCAGTCGGCAGCAGCAGAGACAACATCGGCAACAGCAGAGACAACATCGGCAGCAGTAGAGACAACATTGGCAGCAGCAGAAACAACATCGACAGCAGCACAGACAACAGCAGCAGCAGCAGAAACATCAACACCAGTCGCCGGTCCCTCAACGGCACAGCCCTTCATCGACGAGACGCCGCCAACACCGGCGCAGCAGCTCAACCCGGCACCACGGGAAGTTCACAGAAGCGCGAACATCATCGCCGGCTTCTACTCCAACTCCGACATGTACCGACGCTCGCCAGGACACCGCGCCAACGAAGAAACCTGGCACGCAAGAATGGGACACCCAAGCAACACAGTATTAAACAACACGATAAGAGCTGGAGTACTTGACAAGGATTCACTCTTACTGATCGACGGCAGAGAACTTCAGCGAGCTCGAGGAACGTGCTTCACCTGCCCCGAAGCTGACTTACCACATCAGCCCTTCGTCTCGCATCACAACCCAAGCGCACCTGCATATGCACCACTCGAGAAAGTGTACAGCGACATCTTGTACAACCGCGAACCCGGACAAAACGCGTATAACTACACCATCACCTTCATCGACGCCGCTACACGTTACGTCTGGCACCTAAACTTACCAAGTCGCGACATGGCTTTCGAGGCTTTCGTGGCATGGCTTCCAGCAGCAGAACGGGAATCGGGAGCTAAGCTCAAAAGTTTTCAATCAGACGGAGGAGGAGAATACTCGTCACAGCGGTTCAAGCAGTATCTGGCGGAGAAGGGAATCAAGAGACTCATCTCCCTTCCCTACGCCCATCAACAGCAGGGTGTAGCAGAAAGGATGAACAGGACTCTGCAGAACACCATGCGCAAACTGTTACGTGGCATGCGGCTACCCAACCACCAGTGGCCCGAAGCAATGGACCACGCCGTGATGCTGCACAACTTGCTTTCTTCGTCGTCACTCCCGAACAACACATCACCGCATCTGCTGTGGACAGGGAAACTGGGCAGCACAAAAATGTTACGAGTCTTCGGCTGCATGGTACAGTACCGACCCCCATCTGCACGAGCCGGCCGATTCTCCCAACGCGCACAGTGGGGACTACACCTGGGCATCGAAAAACATTACAACGCGTGGAAAATCTTCGACATCCACACAAAGGAAACAGTAGCAGCACGTGATGTCATTTTCTACGAACGGCTCACACTGCCAACGTACCTTGCCAACCTGGACGAAAATCGAGACCCCACAGGTGGCTTCCGTGGCGATCGAGCCTTCGCTTCGGCAGGAGACGAAGCTGACTGGGACGAGCAGAACGTGGAAGGAGCCTCGGAAGAAGCCGGACCTCTTCCCTACTGCTCAGTGGACGTACCGATGGACGAAGATAACCCTCGCGAAAGCGTCAACGCCGAAACCTACTACCACTTCGCCGACAACGGTTACGTTACACCTGCTGAAGTCAACACCAACGAAGCAGAACGCATAGGGCCCAACTTCGCACCTGATCCAGAAGCTGGAGACGAGGCAGTCTATCCCGAGGACACCACACTCCCCCGCTACACACAGAGTGGACTCCAGATACTCGGGCTCGTCACCGCAGTCCACGGTACCGCCATTCCTAAAGAGCCTGCAACGATTCAGCAGGCTCTGGGGGGGGAACACAAGGAAAAATGGCGTGAAGCCATGGACAAGGAGCTGAAAGCGCTAGAAGAACGCAACACCTGGAAAATCGTTCCTATCGGCGTAGCACGAAACAAGACCATTCTCACCGGAAAATGGGTCTTCCGCGTGAAGACGAAAGCAGATGGCACCATCGACAAATTCAAGGCGCGCTGGGTCGTACGCGGCTTCGACCAAGAGCACGGACGCGACTTCACCGAAACCTTTGCTCCGGTCAGCCGACACACCTCACTACGCATTCTCCTCGCGATCGCCGCCATGAAGAAGAAAAGGCTACGACAAATCGACGTCGCAAACGCCTTTCTCTACGCACCTGTTGACGCAGAAATCTTCGTGGAGCTACCACACGGCTCCAGCACGGACTCCACACACGTCTGTCAACTACTCAAATCGCTCTACGGCATCAAACAAGCCCCACGACTGTGGCAACAGTACCTGCACGCCCGACTCGTTCGCATCGGCTTCAAGCAACTACCGCACGATCAGGGAATGTATCGGCTCACGAAGGGTACAGACTACATCCTCCTAATCGTCTACGTAGACGATTTACTCTACATCGGCTCGACAGACAACGTCACCTCCTGGTTCGAAGGGGAGCTGCAGAAAGACCTCACGCTCACGGTCTCGTCTACCGTCACACAGTACCTCGGCCTCAACATCCGAGAAGAAGAAGATGCGATCTACCTCAACGCCGCGAAATATGCCGACACCATCGCCAAACGCTTCGCTCTCACACCAGCCGCCATCTCCACGCCATACCGCTACACGACAGGAACCGAGAAGGGACGATCCACTCTACTCAAACCAGCCGGCATACGCGACTATCAGAGGAAGCTCGGATGCCTCCTCTTCGCAGCCGTCACTTGCCGTCCCGACCTCTCATACTCCGCAAGTCAACTCGCCACCTACCTCAAGAAGCCTGAAGCAGAACATCTGGCGGAACTTGACCGCGCTCTTCACTACTTCATCAGCACCGCGACGATCGGCCTATCCTACCACAAAAACGCAGCTAAAACAACTAAGCTAATCGGCTATGTCGACGCCGATCACGCCGGCGACTCCGACAACAGGCGCTCACGTACCGGCTACGTCTACCGCCTCGAACCTATCGGACCTATCTCCTGGCAGTCGAGCAAGCAGGAGTTAATCGCGTTATCATCAGCTGAGGCAGAATATATCGCACTCTGCTCAGCCACCAAGGAAGGCCTTTATCTTCGCGAGCTGCTGGAAGAAGCAAAGTTAGCTGAGTTACCCAACTTCACCCTGTTCTGCGACAACCAGTCTGCAATTCGCATCGCCAACAAGAACGGCTTCGCGAACAGGACGAAACATATCGCCCTGCGTTACTTCTTCGTGAAGGACGAGATCGAGAAGGGGAGACTTCAGCTGTCATACTGTCCCACGTCCGAGATGGCAGCCGATTATTTGACCAAGAAACTCGGAAAGCAGAAATTCGAGTACTGCGTGTTGCTGACTGGACAAAGCCACGTCATCAAGAGCGACACTCCAGAAGCGAAGGGGAGTGTTGGAAACAATAAATTGTAAACGCCTCTGTCGTGTCGAAACACCACACCAGAAGCGAAGCACGCCATGTCGAAGCACCCGCGAGTCAACCCTCGGAGGTTAAAAGAGGTTGCTGGAGGTTACGCGAAAGTCAAAGGTCAAGCGACCTTTGACCTGACAAATACAGCGCGACAGTTAAGGACACACAACTGACTCATTACAGAGCAGTTGCCCGAGTCGTACTGTATCGAACCGCAACAGTAAAGTAGTTACAAACTGCATCCTTTCATATTCCTTGTATTATTATATAATCTTGTACTTCCTTGCTATAATTAATCTACTTTGCCCTCACATACCAGCGCAAGGTGGTTCACAAACTTTTGTTAAACGCTTCCGCTATTACAAAACTTTCATCCAGAGTTCTCCCTTGAAAGATCCTAAGGGGCTATCTCAGCCCAACAAGAAAGAGGAAAAGGGAAAGAGGGAGAAGGAAAAGGGAAAGAAAGACACCAGAAACAACTCAAACGCAACACCCATAAAAAGCCCCATAAAAATACTCCATAAAGAAAAAACCCAACCAGGATCCCCTACCAGACGTCCTATCTCGCACCCCATTCCCCCTCGCCCCCCCCCCCCCCTCCCCCCCAAGTCACATCTGCACATCCACCATGTAGGGGGCCTCCACCCAAAGAGGCCCGCCCTCCACCTCGACATCGTCCCTCTCCCGATCCACCAAGTCCACATTCAACCCCCCCATGGAAGACGCCGCCCGAAGCAGGATGACACGAGCTTGCGCCCGTTGTAACGCCACTCCGATGAGCGCCTTCAGAGACCCCAAAAGGTAAGCCGAGAACGAAGTGTCATCCTCCCGACAAGCCCCCCGTGACACAGCTAGCCCCACGTGCGCGTCCCCCTGCTGTCGAAGCCACCGCCGGAAGCGACCGCAGGAAGCCCATTTCTGCTCACTACCCGGCCATCTCTGATGTCGCGTATTTTCTCGTCACCAAAAGATTTGGAGGAATTTTGGTGTTCTGGGAGAGATCTGTCAATGGGTTAGGGAGAAGCTACAGTACCACCAAGATCCATTCTACACCGCCCTTGGTGAATGACATCATTGTCCGGATTTCCCGGAAGTCCAGCTAACGAGATTGGGTCATGGTGGCATTCAATCAATCGACGCGCCGCGTGTGAGCTTTCATTCACCTTCATCAGTTGGCAACCTATGCGCCTTCATCACATCAATGTGCCGTAAACGCACGCATTGCTCGCCACGGCGTCGGCATGGGCTTGGGATTGACTTGGTGGGATATCGATGGCAGGCACAGCAGAAAAGGTGTGGGCTTGTTTGAACATCCCGAAATTTCGCGAAGCCCGAAGAGCTCCGGTTTGCCATCTGGCATGTCTAACATGCATTCGCAGACCCACCAATGAAGAGTCCCGAGCTCGTAACCTCCAATTCGCTGGCGGCCAGACTAGACCTAGAGACTTCCTCCCGCAAGCACAGCGCACCCACCCCAGAACTTGTCGTGCCTGAGGGCAGGCATGAGAACCTCCATTCTGGTCTGGAACCGAGCGAAAACCCTTCAAACCAAAAAAGGTTTCGACAAACTTCGAATTTTCCGAAACAAGTGTTGTCCAGCATGCTTCAAGACATGCCGAACCTCCGTGCCGCGTGGCAAACCATACGGCAGGTAAGGGATACCCCTTCACCAGCGCCGCCAAATTACCCACAGCACAGCACCCCAATATCCATTCTGCAAGTCAAGTAGCGTCGCGAGCCAGGCGCAAACTGTTGCGCATCTCACACGCATTCCGGTTGCGCCATGGCGCATGGATACCAAGGCTGTTCTGTGCTTTCCGCCCGCCGCACACACGCCACCCCCCAGGTCCGGGAGCTCCAGTCACCTCCCCAGGTTCCTTTCCGAGCCTAAGCGGAGCCTCCAAAAAGCTGGAGGTGTTGTGTGTTTGGTGTGGTCGAACCAAGCTGGACTTTTTCTTTGTTCTGGTTCGGATCATGCTGCTGTCCTGTCCCTCGCAGAGCCTCCTTTGCAGCCTTCCTCGAAGTGACTTGCCTCAGTGGTGGGAGCTCATTCGTTTGTTTGAACAACCAGCTGAGGTACACTTCGCTGGCTAATACCACCTGGCCCTTTCAGTCAGGCATACTAGATGTGATGAAGGTGTGGTATTTGGCTCTTATTCGTTGTAGTTGAGAAGGCGGTTTCCGTCATTCCATTGTATGATTTAGCTCCTTTTTCTACACTAGGTGAGAAATTGTTGGCGTACTTTGGTTAGATTTCTTCCTTGTTTTGCGGGAGCTCTGGTCGAGGGATTTCGAGTCTGTTCGCTCTTTACGAAGGCCAATCACCTTCCAGAAATGTCAGCATATTTCGTAATTTGCCTCAATGGTCATAACATCGACTTCTGACACACCTGTTCGTCTGGTATTTTAGGTCATAATGGCTCTTAATTAGGAACGAATCATTTGTTGCAGCTACAAGCTCATCCACAATATAATGTTCCTCATAATGCTTAATTCTCTCTTGCTTGTTCAAATCCCCCTTCCCTCTTCACACCCCCTTACCCATCCCTCCTCACCCTTTCCGCAGAGCCCCTCCCGTTCCCCATAGCTCTGGCAGCTGTCCCCGTTATACGTCCGCAGTCTCGTTATGGAGGTATCGGAAGACCGCTCTTCCACCTCCCCAGACCACGACACCCAGCGAGCGGAATCAGCTGCGGCTGCAGCGGCGACAATTTTAGCGGGAGTAGTGTCTCCTGATTCCACCATACCTGGTCTGACGCCCATCCCGTCGCGGCGCTTCGCTAGACGTAGCTCGCCACTTGCTGCTCGCCGCGCGCCGCGCACGCTTCAAGTGCCCGACGCCGTCGCCAAGTGGAGCGTACCAGATCCTGCCACGCACGCGTTTGACGTGGATGGCTCGGGGCATCCCGACCAGCCTTTCTCGCCGTCCCCGCGCTCGCCGTCCCCCTACTCCCCGCGTGCGCGCCTCGCGCACTTCTCCAGCCTCCCCGTTCTCACGCTCGCGGAACAGCCCGACCCTGCGCCGCCAGCGTTCCCGAGAGTCGCGGCGCCCTCCTGGTCCGCGTTCGACAGGCTCATAGAGGCGGACTTGGCAGATGGACATAGCTCGTCGGACGATCATTCAATATCGCATGGTTCTAATTGGCGACGGCATAGCGTGGGGCATCGCAAGCGTGTTTCCCTCGGAGGTCTGCCGGTTCCGGTCCCTGTTGACGCGATTTCGCACTCTGCTGGTGTCGTTGCAACGTCAGAAGGAGCTGCAGCTGCGGCGGCCGCAGCAGCAGCGGCAGATGCGGTGACGGTGGCTCCGCCGGTGCTAGGAGCAGGAGCAGCGGATAGAGACGGACACTTGCAGCGTGATTGCACGTTAAACGAGGGGATTGCGGGGATTGCGGGGATTGCGGGGAGCGCCCACCCTCTGTCTCCTTCGCACGCACCGTACGACGCTTCCCCGGATCCAGATCGTATCTTCACACATCCAGCCATGGCTGATGCTTTTTCGCCCGTCACCCGCCCGTACCGCGAGATCTCGCGCACCGCCAGCAGCGACTCCGCCGCTTTGAGCGACGCGATAGGCGGCTCGAGCATGCTAGAGCTGTCGCTGGATCCAATCGATCGCCCGCCCATGCGGCCGCTTCCGCCTGTGCCGAGCCATGAGCGTCTTGATATGATGGGGTTAGGGGGAAATCTCATCCCGCTGCGCATGGTCCAAGACGGCATGGATCTAGGCTCGGCGGCGATTTCCGCCGCGGTTACCCCGATGCATGGGTCCGCGGGCCGGGGGATGGGCGGAGGAGGGGGAGCGGGAGGGGGAGGAGGCGCGGAGGGGTATTTTTCCCACAGAGTGAAGCTGTTGGTGAGCCATGGAGGGGGGATTGTGCATCAGGCGGGTTACCACCGCTTGCGCTACGTTGGTGGCGAGACGCGCCTGCTGTCCGTGCCGCGCCACATGCGCTTCGTCGACCTGCAGTCGCGGCTCGCGGACATTTACGGCCACAACGTCTTTATCAAATATCAGGTAGCCCTTTTTTAACCAACTGCTATCACGAAGGGTACTTTCCCGGGATCTGTACATTTGATTAGCTTCTTCATTAGGCAGGCTGTCTTTTTGCGGATCGTGTTTTCGAGGTGTTTGCCTCTGCGTGCGAGTTTCCTTTCCATCCTTCGCGGTGCTTCGCCAATTCGTCTCCGTCATCCGCCCAGCTCGCGCCTCGAGTAACGCGCTACGTTTCCCTTGGCCTTTATGCGGAAGTCTCGAGCTCGGGACGCTTGGACCCGCGGTTAGAGCCACCATTGGAGGAACCGTCGAATAATCCTCCGCTTGCAATCCCACCCTCCTCAACCCCCCCCCTTCCACTCCTCTACCCCCCCTCCCCCCCCCCCCCCCCCCGTCTCTCCTTTCTCCGTCTCTCTCTCTTCCCCCACGCTCTTCCTCCCTCACCTTCTCCTTTCCCGCGTGCACGCGTGCAGTTGCCAGGAGAAGATCTGGATTCGCTCGTATCCGTGTGCAATGATGAGGATCTCGAGAATATGCTGGAGGAGTGCGACAGGGAGGCGCAAAAAGCATCGGGCGGCCGCCGCGTGCGCATGTTCCTGGGCGGCAGCGCGGGGGCCCTGGCGGTGCAGCATGTGCGGGGCAGCAGCCAGGACGAGGGGGAGCGAGCGCGGGGGAGGGAAGGGGGGAGGGGGAGGGATAGGCAGGGGTACGAAGGACGGGGGTATGAGGGTGAGAGGGAGGGGGATTGGGAGACGGATCGGGAGCGGGAGCGGGAAAGGGAGAGGGAACGGGAGAGGGAGAGGGAGAGGGATAGAGAGAGGGAGAGGGAAAGGGAGAGGGTGAGGGAAAGGGAGCGTGACAGGGAGCGGGATGGGAGAGAGAAGGACAGGGGGAGGGATAGGGAGAGGGAGAGGGATCGTGGCAGAGAGAGGAGCCGCGGGAAGGACAGGGACTGGGAGAGGGAAAGAGAGAGAGATAGAGAGAGGGAAAGGGAGAGGGACCGAGAAAAGGACCAGGATTGGAGTCGGGAGGAGCGGGAGAAGGAGCGGGAGAGGGACCGTGAAAGAGAGTGGGGGCGGGAGAGATCGAGGGATAGAGACAGGGACCGGCGTAGGGAGAGGGAGGAGAGGGATCGAGAGAAGGAGCGAGAGTGGGAGCGAGGTGGGGGCAGGGAGAAGAGCAGAGAGCGGGACCGGGATAATGAGAGAAACCGAGATAAGGATCGTAGTAGGGGAAGGGGAAGGGGTGAGAGGGACAGGAGCAGGGGGAGGAGTAGGGAGAGAGAAACTGGGAGGGATGGGGGGGGGTGGGATCGTGAGCATGAGACAAGGGGGAGGAGCAGAGGGAGGAGCAGGAGCAACGACTGGAAGGAAGAGAGGAGGGAGAGGAGCAGCGAGCGGGGGAGGGAGTACGGAGGTGAGAGGGGCGAGGAGGGCGGTAGAGAGCGAGAGGGAGAGTGGGACGGGGGGAGAGAGGACAAGGGATGGAACGAGAGCGGTGGGCATGTGAGTGAATGGAGAGAGGGAGGGGGCAGGGGGCCGTTGGTTGTTGGTGAGTCCGGAATCGCAGGAAGTCAAGGTGGCATGATGCGGCAGATAGAGAAGCGAGGCAGTGGTGTGGATCCGGATATGGCGAGGGAGTTGAGGGCGGAGGCTGGTATTGACAGGAGGAACAGCGGTGGTGCAGAAATGCTTACTCCGTTTGATTCTGCAAGCGGCGAAGCAGATGCTGTCAGGCGTACTCCAGCAGGCGCAGCAGCAGCACCCGCACCAGCAGCAGCAGCAGCAGCAGCAGCTGGGCTGCCGTTAGCAAGCATCGGTCCTGCAGAATACGGTGGTTCCGATTCTGCTCATGCTCCTGCTCACCCAATGCCCGTGCCACCGCACATTCACTCCTTGACTGTGCTGCCGCCCTCACCCCTCTCACACACAACCTCCCAGCTCTCACCAGATCGCAAACCCATGCTGCCACTACCTCTCGAACCCCCCTCTATGGCCCTCGCGACTATCCCTTCTGGTATTAGCTACAACCCAGGCCTTTCTCCCCCTCCTCCTGCGTCTGCTGCTGCTGCTACATCCGCTGCTACTGCCGCTGCTGTTGCTGCTGGCGCTACAGCAGCCGCTGCAGCCGCGCCTGTCATCGCTGCCTCGTCTTTGATTCACCACCCGTTTGCAGGCGCTCTGGAGGCATACAGTGGCAGCAGCAGCAGCAGCAGCAGCAAGAGCAGCAGCAGCAGCAGTATAGATCGGTCTTTCATACGGCCGTCTCTCCCTGGGAGCCCTTCTGATCGGGGGCATGGGCATTGGCAGGGGCAGTGGCATGGGCATGGACACGGGCAGGGGCAGGGACAGGGACAGGGGCAGGGACACGCTCTATCGCAGGCTCTTTCTCCTGTGAATCACCTCACGCCTATACGGTTGGGCTTACGTTCTGCATCCACCTCTTCTTCTGCAGCTAACTCTACTGTCTCCTCTCCCACGCGATCTGCCGCCGCTGCTGCTGCGGCGGCGGCGGCGGTTGCTGGGGTTGGTATGGGTGGGATGGGCGGTACGAGCGGTGGAGTGCGGTTCATGCAGTCAAGGTCGCACGGGGAGGATCATGAAATAGACAGCCCGCTCATAAGAGAATTCCGTGCAGCAAGGCCTCTGTCACCCATGCGACAGTCTGTCTCTGCTGCTGCTCTGGACCACTATCAACCGCAGCAGTATCAGCACCAGCATCAGCATCACCTGCTGCTGCACTAAGCAGCACCAGCAGCAACAGCAGCAGCAGCAGCATCAGCAGCAGCAGCAGCAGCAGCAGCAGCAGCAGCAGCAGCAGCAGCAGCAGCAGCAGCAGCAGCAAGAGCAGCATCAGTTGCGCAGAGGGCCGTCCGCCCCAGCTACAGCACTGCCTATTGCTGCTGCTACTGCTGCCACTGCTTCTGCAGCTGCTGTTTCCGCTGCTGCTGCTGGGCATCAGGAGGCACAGTGGTGGCACGGCTCCCCACCCGCACCTGCCCCGATTTCTGGACTCGTCTCTCCTGCGCTGCTCTCTGCACCGCGCTCCACCGCCCCAATCTCTGCTGCACCGCTCTCTGCTTCGCCGCTCTCCGCTGCACCGCTCTCCACCGTTCCCGTCTCCCATCTACTGGTGCAGCAATTCGAATCTCCAACCACATCCCACCTGGGTGCACATGCTGTTTCCCATGCTGCCTCACACACTGCCTCACATGCCACCTCGCATGCTACCCCGCATGCTGCCCCGCATGCCGCCTTGCATGCTGCCCCACATGCTCTCACACCTGCTGCTTCGTATGCCATCACGCATGCCGCGGCACATCCTGGTGCTCAGCTGTTGCTGCACCTCGGCTCTCCCCCTACAGCCGGCTTTATGATGCCTGCTGCTGCCGGAGCAGGGCAGGGGCAGGGGCGGCTGGAGTGGCAGCAGCAGCAGCAGGTGGGGCAACAGCAGGTGGGGCAGCAGCAGGGACAGGGACAGGCGCCAGCTATGCAGGTGGCAGTGCAGTCAGCACCGCTGCCGATTCAAATGCCTGTAGGCCTGGCAGCCCTGCAACAGCCGCTGCTGCCACATCCGCAAGCGGGATTCCCTGCTCCTGCTGCTCCTGCTGTCCCTGCTGCGTCTGCTGCCGATCACCCCGTGCCTGCTGCTGCTGTGCCTGTATCAGGCGGCACAGAACAGGGAGCGCTAGGCGGCAGGCAGGGCAGTGCGGAGGAGAAAGAGATGGGATCAAACGCTGGGGACTGGGACACTGCGCTGCTTACTCTCATAGGAGATCATAGCGACCTGCATGGGTATGAGCAGCAGCAGCCGCTCACACATGCGGACTCTCAAGCCCTTGCTGCTGCTGTGCCCCATGCTGCTGTCCCAGCGCTTGGGGAGAGTGAAGGGGAAGTTGGGAAGGCAGGGGTTGCTGATGTATGTTCGGAGGTGATGTGTGGAGCTGGGGAGGTTGGTGGTGGTGGTGGGACGGTTGGTGTGGAGAGACATGGGGGCGCGGGGCTTGTTGGGACGGAGTGTGTTGTGATTGGGGAGGAAGGGACACTGGACACGCATGTGCTGCATCAACAACAGATGCAGGAGCAGCAGTTGCAACAACAGCGGCCGCAGCAGCAGCAACAGTTGCAGCAACAGTTGCAGCAACAGCAGCAGCATCAGCAGCAGGAACAGTTGCAGCAGCTGCAGCAACAGCAGCAGCAGCAGCAGCAGCAGGAACAGCAGCAGCATCAGCAACAACAGCAGCAGCTCCAGCAGCAGCAGCAGCAGCAGCAGCATACAGAGAAGCAATGGACACATGCAGCGCATGAGGATGCAAACCAAGAATCAGAGGAGTGGACATCCGAGCAGCTCCAAAGGCGCTTCTCAAACGCCTCCTCTGCCTTTCTACATGGAGAGGCGTCGTCTGACCTAAACCCTGTGCCGTCTATACCATCTGTCCCATCCTTACCATCCTTACCATCTGTAGCATCTGCAGCATCCGTAGCATCACCTGATTCCGCGCCTGCTACAGCCGCTACAGCCGTGCCCCCTGTGTTTCCAGGTTCAGTGGCTCTGCCACAGCCTGCAGTGCCCATCCCTTTCAGCTGTAGCAGCAGCAGCAGCAGCAGCAGCAGCAGCAGCAGCAGCAGCAGCAGCAGCAGCAGCAGCAGGAGTTGTCACAGCAGCAGAGGGAGGGGCTGGGGAGGGGGCAAGGGGAGGGGTGGGAGCGTGGGAGGACACGTGGGGGGGAAGCTCTGTTGTTGGTCCTTCAACTGGGGTTGAGGAACAACACATTCAGCCGCAGCAGCAGCCGCCGCCGCCGCAGCAGCAGCAGCAGCAGCCGGAGCAGCAGCAACAGAAGGAGCAGCAGATGCAGCAGCAGCAGCAGCAGCAGCAGCAGCAGCAGCAGCAGCAGCAGCAGCAGCAGCAGCAGCAGCAGCAGCAGCAGCAGCAGCAGCAGCAGCAGCAGCAGCAGCAGCAGCAGCAGCAGCAGCAGCAGCAGCAGCAGCAGCAGCAGCAGCAGCAGCAGCAGCAGCAGCAGCAGCAGCAGCAGCAGCAGCAGCAGCAGCAGCAGCAGCAGCAGCAGCAGCAGCAGCAGCAGCAGCAGCAGCAGCAGCAGCAGCAGCAGCAGCAGCAGCAGCAGCAGCAGCAGCAGCAGCAGCAGCAGCAGCAGCAGCAGCAGCAGCAGCAGCAGCAGCAGCAGCAGCAGCAGCAGCAGCAGCAGCAGCAGCAGCAGCAGCAGCAGCAGCAGCAGCAGCAGCAGCAGCAGCAGCAGCAGCAGCAGCAGCAGCAGCAGCAGCAGCAGCAGCAGCAGCAGCAGCAGGAGCTTAGGGAAGTGGCTGTACCTGCCTCTGCGCCTCATTTCCCGTCCACCTGGTCTCCTGTTCACTCTGCAGCGTCTCAGGCAGTGCTGCACGCAGCAGCGGGAGCAGGGGTGGCGGCAGGTGTGGGCGCAGTGGGACAGGTTGTTGAGAGCTTGGGACGGCATGCTGGGCTGAACGTGCAGGTGATGCTGCAGCAGCAGCAGGAGCAGCAGCAGCAACAGCAGCAGCAGGAGCAGCAGCCACAGCAACAACAACAATTGCAGCAACAGCATCAACAGCGGCAACAGCAACAATCTCAGCAGCAGCAGCAACAGCTGCAGCAACAACCACAGCAGCAGCAAAGTCCTTCGCTTGTGTCTACCTCTCTGCACCCCCTGCCACCTTCGTTGAAAGCAGCAGCATCACACACTTCAGTTACAACAGCACCAGCAGCAGCACTAGCAGGAGCACTAGCAGCATCAGCACCCAGAGCATCAGCAGTGGGACCTTCACACCTGCCTTTTGCTGCAGCTGCTCCTGCTGCTGCCCTTGCTCCTGTGATAACCTCTGCTGCTCCTGCTGTCGTTTCTGCTCCTGCTTCCACAATGCCCACTCTTCCTACTGCTGCTCCTCCAACCCTGCCTGCTGCTGCTGCCGCTGCCTCTTCCGCTCCTGGCGTTTCGCATGGAGTGCAACTCCCATACTCCCCGCGCCTTACTGCCTTGCCCATGCAAGAACCGCCCAGCTCCCTCTCCCTCGCTCTCTCTTCCTCGCCTGCTGCCGCTCATACCCTGCCACCATGCACCACACACACAACGCCCTCGCACATCTCTTCTTTCGTAGGGCCCAAGGCTTTTACTCCAGCACTAGCAGCAACAGAATCAGCAACAGCAGGAGCTGTAGCAGCAGCTGCTGCTGCTGCTGCTGCTGCAGCCTCCCCAGCAGCAGCAGAAACAGAATCTCCTGCTGCTGCGGAATCGGCGACGTCAGTGCTCGTGCCGATTGTCTCTCTCCCTTCGTCTCCTGTGCAGCCCCCCAGGGCCCTTCCCAGACGCCCATCCGCCTCCGCCCTTGCTGCTCTAGACAACACTGCTCTCCCTCCGATGCTCTCTTGGCTGGGTTCAGCAGCGCTAGAGCAGCAACAGCAGCAGCAGCAGCAGCAGCAGCTGCAGCAGCAAGCACAGGTGCCAGGTCAGCAGTACCACCCATACCAGCAGGAGCAGCAGCATCAGGGACATCAGCATCCGCATCAGCAGCAGCATCAGCTGAAGCTGCAGGCAAGGCCGGGTGAATCTGGACCGTCCATGCACCTTGGATCTTCCGCTGCTTTCTTCCCCCACTCCCTTTCCGAGCCAGCTGTCATTCCCTCCTTCTCACATGCTCCCACCTACCCCCCACATCCTTCCATGTCCATCCAGTTACCACCTGCACCCCCTGCGGTAACACCCTCCTCCAGCCAATCAATTCTCGCCACGTCAGTGCTCGGAAACCCTGTAGCAGCACCTGCAGCAGAGCCTGGAGCTACATCTGTAGCCATGCCAGCAGCCGCTGCCTCTGTACCTACCCCTGCCATTGCACTCCCTTCCCTTCCTCCTCCCTCCGCCTCCTCCTCCTCCTCTCCTCCGCCCCCTCCCCCTTCATCATTCCCCAACCTCCCATCCCCCTCCGCACTCCTCCCATCGCCTCTCACACCGCATCCAGCCCCAGATCTCTACACCAGCGGCTCCTCAGAGCGCCACGTGGCAGTTGACGTGGCGTCAATGGTCCTGGGCAGCCTAGGCATGTCTATAGAGCACCTATCTCCCGGGGGATCCGCCATTCACGGGTCTGCGTCCCTCTCCCACACCACAGCCAGCAGCAGCGGTGCTGTCTCATCCGGTCTCTCCTCCTCCTCTCTCTCTAGTGATCCTGCCACTCCGCCCTTAGGTTCTCTGAATGTGTACTCGGCTCAGTTAGGGGCGGCAGGGGAAGGGGTGGGATCCGGTGCTGGTGCTGCTGCTGCTGGGGTTAGCAGTGGTGGTGGTGGGTGGAGTAGGGTCGATGGCGATGGGGATGCTGATGCTGCTGGTGCGGCGGTTGTTGCTGCTGCCGATGCTAGTGCTGGTGTGGCAGTGGAGGGAAGGTCAGGCGAAGGTTCTGCTGTGGAGCAAGGAGCGCGTGAGGTAGGAGGTGGGGGAGGAGCAGAGGCAGGAGGGCGGATGGGCGGGAATGAGGCTGCTGTGCCTGGTTCTGAAAGGTCGAGCGCGGGTGTTGGAGTGGAAGTATCTGCGCGTGCAGAGACAAGAAACGATGCGTCTGCTGCAGCTGCTGCTGCTGTTTCGAGTGCTGCTGTTTCGAGTGTTGCTGCTTCGGGTGCTGTTCCTGCAGATGCTGTGGCAACAGGCAGTGACAGTGAGGAGGAGAGGGGCTTGGTTGACAGTGCTTCTCTGGAGCGTGCGCTTCTGGAAGGCAAGGCAGAGCAAGGGCAGCAGGTGCAACGGCAGGATGAGAGGGAGGAGCGTGGTGGTGTGGGGGGTGAGAGCATGGCAAGAGACGGGGCGTCTGCAGCAGGGGCAGTTGCAGGGGCAGCAGCTGGGGCAGCGGCAGGGGCGACGGCGAGTGGGGTGGTAGGGGCAGCGAGTGGGCAGGTGGTGGGGATGGAGAAAGAGGTGGTGGAACGCATGGAAGCTGCTCTCTCCTCCAAGGTCCGTCACCTCTCCACCTCTCTTTCTTGCACTCTCTCACTCACTCTCCCCCCCGCTCTCCCTCCCCCCTCACTCGTGTCATTCTGCTGCTCTTCGATCGGGTTCTCTCGCTTGCTACACGCAAGTCACCGCCTCTCGCTTGCCCTTGCATGTGGCCCTAAGCATGTGCTTCCCACTCTCTGTTGCTAAATCACTTGCCCTGGTCCTGCGTCTTTTGAGACGTCTCAAAACTCTCTGTTGTCAAATAGTTCGCTCCTGTCAACAAGCTGACCCTCTCAACGGACCTGCGTCTGCATGCCTGCATGATTGCATGCCTGCATCAATTCATGCACGATTACAGGGAATAGGAGAGGCATCCGGCGGAGAAGCGAGAGCGGATCCGAGTGGCATGCCGGTGGTGCCGGTGGGGAGACCGCCCACAGCACCGGTGGGAGCAGGGCGTGAGGCCGAGGCAGAGGCCATTCGACAAGGGCTGCAGGTAACGCCTTGCTGCGTTTAGGTTTTCTCTGCTGTCTCTACTCTCTCTGCTCCTCTGTTGAATGCCAGTGGTGCCGGTGGGACGGCCGCCCACAGCACCCGTGGGAGCAGGGCGTGAGGCCGAGGCAGAGGCCATTCGACAAGGGCTGCAGGTAACGCCTTGCTGTGTTTTTGCTCTCAATCCTCCCGCTGCTCTTTTCTGTCACTGGTCTTTCTGCTTTCTCAGCCCCCTCGGCCTTCTCTCTCTCCTCTCTCCATTCTCATCCCTCCCCCTTCTAACAGCATTCCCTCACCCCCATTCTTGCGCTCGTTTCTTTATTCAGACCGTAGCCTCTCTTGAAATCATTTTCCTCTTTTCTTGTATCTTCCCTTCCATATCTCCCACCTCACCGGTCTGAACCCATCGACTATCCCCCCTCCACTCCCCTCTTCCCCCCCAGACCATAGCAAACGAAGACTTGGAGGAGTTGAGGGAGCTGGGGTCGGGCACGTATGGCACGGTGGTGCATGGCAAGTGGCGCGGCACTCACTACTGCAACCACCCCCTTCCACTTCCTGCCTCTTGCCTGCTCCCCTCGTTGTCTCCCCTCTCGCCCCCCAGACCATAGCGAACGAGGACTTGGAGGAGTTGAGGGAGCTGGGGTCGGGCACATATGGCACGGTGGTGCATGGCAAGTGGCGCGGTACAGACGTGGCGATCAAGAGAATCAAGGCGTCCGTGTTTGACGGGCGCACCTCCGAGCAGGAGCGCATGGTGGGTGCTTGTTTTTGTGCGGGCATGTTTGGGAGGGGCGTGTGGGGGAGGGGCGTGTGAAGGAGGGGCGTGTTGGGGAGGGGAGAAGCAGAGGTTGAGGGGGAGGGAGAGAAGTGGGGGACAGAGGGGGGGAGAGGGTTTGCGGGTGCGTGCGGGTGTGTGCAGGGAGGGGTGGTGTTGTGAGTGCGAGGAAAGGAAGAGAGGATTTGGTGGTGCATGGCAAGTGGCGCGGTACTGACGCGGTCATCAAGAGAATCAAGGCGTCGGTGTTTGACGGGCGCACCTCCGAGCAAGAGCGCATGGTGGGTGCATGCAAGTGGGGACAGGGGCGAGGGTGGGGGTCGGGTGGAGAGGAGAAGCAGGGGTTGCGGGGTGGGAAGGGAATTGGGGGGTGCTTGCGGCTGCGTGCGGTTGCTTGTGGGTGCTTGCAGGGATGGGTGGTGTTGCGAGGAGAGGGAGGAATATGTTGAGTCACACCCCCTGTTCCAGCCTTCATGTCTTCCTCTTCCTTTGTCCCGTCACCTCCACCCACACACGAGCGCACTCACGCATCCCAGCAGGTCGCAGACTTCTGGCGGGAGGCGCGTCTCCTAGCAGGAAAATGTTTCGAGTCACACTTTTTCTTTTCCCCTTTTCCCGTCACCCCTGTCCTGCCGTTTCTGCATGCATCCCAGCAGTTGGCGGATTTCTGGAGGGAGGCGTGCCTGCTAGCAGGGCTGCACCATCCGAACGTGGTGGCGTTTTACGGTGTGGTGAAGGACGGCGCAGACAACAGCCTGGCTACGGTCACGGAGTTCATGGTCAACGGCAGCCTCAAGAGCGTGCTGCAGCGCAAGGGCCGGTATGTGCGTGGGGGTCCTTCCCCCCTCCCCTCTACCCCCTCTTCCCCAGCACCCTTTCCTCTTCTCTTTTGTGGCTCCTAATGAAGGCTGACAACAGCCTGGCGACGGTCACGGAGTTCATGGTCAACGGCAGCCTCAAGAGCGTGCTGCAGCGCAAGGGCCGGTATGTGCGTGGGGGTCCTTCCCCCCTCCCCTCTACCCCCTCTTCCCCAGCACCCTTTCCTCTTCTCTTTTGTGGCTCCTAATGAAGGCTGACAACAGCCTGGCGACGGTCACGGAGTTCATGGTCAACGGCAGCCTCAAGAGCGTGCTGCAGCGCAAGGGCCGGTATGTGCGTGGGGGTCCTTCCCCCCTCCCCTCTACCCCCTCTTCCCCAGCACGCTTTCCTCTTCTCTTTTGTTGCTCCTAGTGAAGGCTGACAACAGCCTGGCGACGGTCACGCAGTTCATGGTCAACGGCAGCCTCAAGAGCGTGCTGCAGCGCAAGGGCCGGTGCGTTAGCTTTCTCCTTCTTCGCCTCTCTGTGTTTGTGTGTGCGCGCGCGCATGTGTGTGCATGCGTGTGGTTCCCCCCCTCCCCCCGTCCTCCCCCCCCCATTTCCGCCCCCCACCTCCTTTCCCCTCCCCCCTCTTTTCTTTTTTCCTTATCTTTTCTGTCTTCTAGGTGGGATTATCCTCCCCCAAACTCTGTGCTGCCCTTTCTTTCCGTGGAGTTTCAGCTCACCTGTATCAAACGCGCTCTCCCCCTTCCGCGCTTCCTACTTTTCTCACCCCCCCCTGCCCCCAGGTCCATTGACCGGCGAAAGCGGGTGATGATAGCAATGGACGCGGCGTTTGGCATGGAGTATCTGCACTCGCGCAACATCGTGCACTTTGACCTCAAGTGCGATAACCTCCTCGTCAACCTGCGCGACCCCGCGCGCCCCGTCTGCAAGGTATGGAAATGCTGTGTCAGGCGTCAGCAGTATGCGCGGCACGCTCCCCCCTGCATGGCACCTGAGCTGCTTTTGAGAATTCTCGAATATGTCGGAGATGCATCTTCTTTGCAGTCCACATTCCCCTCACATAAGTCATTTCATCACCCTGCCTTCCTTTCTCGTGCCTTGGCAACTTATTCGCCCTCTTCTCCCACCTCTCCTCCCCTCTTCCCCTCCCGCTCCTCCCCGCGCCCCCTCTTCCCGTCCCTCTCAAATCCCGTTGTCTGCGTGCATGGGTGTGGTGTGGTGTGGTGCCATGCGGTGCATGGGAGCAGGTGGGCGACCTGGGGCTGTCCAAGGTGAAGCACAAGACAATGGTGTCAGCAGGCATGCGCGGCACCCTGCCCTGGATGGCGCCCGAGCTGCTGGACGGACACAAGAATGTCACGGATAAGGTGAGAGAGAGGGATGCAAGGAGTGGGCAACATTGTAAAAATGATCGAGCAAGGTGATGGATACGGTGGAAGGGATGCGAGTAAGCGGTTGGCTTCAGTGGTGCATGTTTTGCCCCGTCGTGCCTTCATGCCTTCATACTCCCAACACGCCCCTCCCTCCTGACACCCTCTTTTCTCAGGTGGACGTTTACTCATTCGGAGTGGTGATGTGGGAAATGCTCACAGGAGAAGAGCCCTACGCAAGCATGCACGCAGGCGCAATCATCACAGGCATTCTCACCAACAGCTTGCGGCCTCCTGTGCCCTCCTGGTGTGACCCTGCCTGGAAGCAACTCATGGAGAGATGCTGGGCGGCAGACCCTGCAGACCGGCCCACGTTTTCAGAGATTGTGGAGGCGTTGAGAGAGATGGAGAGTAGTATGGGCGGCGGGCCTGGGTCGGCAGGGCAGAGGTGACACACGGTGGGCTGGGATTGGATTTTGCGGAAATAAGAACGGATGTTGGTTTGTGGGGAAGCAGAGTACTCGTGTTGGTGTAGTATTGTAGCTTGATTGTTGGTGGATTTTCTGGTCTATGTTGTATTGGCAACTCAGTTGTATAAATACGAATGTACATTTGTAATCTCATTGGTCTAAGTGGAAAGCAACTAGCAGAACCATAATAGACATCTCAGCACAGCAGTTTATTTAATATAATGTTGCGGCGTAACACTCGCCATCTCCAGCGGTCCTCCTAGCTGCTCTCCAGCTGGCTGCTTCTAGCGAACCAACAGGCGCTCATGCAGCAGACATGGCTATACGAAACCGAAGCGCGGGCGGTATGCGAGCCAACATGCACGCAAGCCGCTGGTTTTCCAAGCCGCGCGGAAATCGTTGTGACCTCGACGGGAACCTACTATTATATACTACAAGGATAGATGTCGAAATCATTATTGCCATGCGTTCACATGCTAGACAGTCTCTTGGCTTATTGAAATCAGGCATGTGTGCCCACTCAGCTTTAAATCTCTAATAGCTCACCAGGTGAGTCAAGATATGAGCTGTCAGGGACCACAGCTCCCTGATCCTCCTAGATTTTACACTTCTTTCGCTGCACGTCGGAGCGCGGCGACCTTGTCTCGTCGTGTCGGCCAAGCGCCAAAGCGAGACCTTGCGAGGTGCGCCGCTGTTCGCGAGACCTTGCGGTTGCGCTTTCTCGCGCTTGCCTACCAGTGCTCGCGGGTACGGAAGCGTAATGCGCGCGGAAGTGCTGGGTGGGGGGCATCGCGCGGTATTATTGCCGGACAGCCAGCCAGCCAGCCAGGCAAGGCGCACGCAGGCGCTCACCATGTGCGGTGACGTGTGCGATGCGATGTGACTGGCGGAGCAGCCGCTGTGGCCCCCACCATCGAATTTGTCATCCCCCTTCCCCCACCCTCCCCATTCCCTCATCTCCCCTTATTTTCTTTCCCCAAGCCCCCTTCATTCCTTCCGCCCAGCGGTTCATGGCTCCGAATCTCCCCATCTGTCCCCACTTTCCCCCGCGCAGGGGGAACTTCCCCCTGAAGGGTCCAGCCCACCTAGGCTGGGCACCGCAGCGTGTTTATAAGAGTAGGTGAAACCCGCGTAGCATCGTTTTTTCTGCCTCCTTTCTGCGCTCGAAGCTTCTTCTGCCTGCCACAGCCGTGCCAACCTCGTCGCGTCGACTCGTCTCGTCGACCCGTCCAACGACTCGTTCAACCGCAGCGAACTCCCCCGGACCAATACAAACCGCAGAGAAGAGTGGAATTTCTGCCCACAAGCAACCCACGTCGGAGCCGTATTACTAATATACGGCAGCTCTTAGTTAGGAGAAGAGCAGCGCCTGACTGCTCCGTGCGGGTGGGTCCGTGCCGCTGTGAGCTGTGACTGGACAGCTCCTCTTCACTTGTGTGAGTCCTTGCTCCCGTACGGTCTCCTCTTCTCGCGACGGGTACCTGAATTGCAGCGCCAGGGCCAGGCCATTCTGCTGTGGCCCAAGTGATTCGCCCGGGGGCTTTCCTGCGGCTGACTGCTGTGGCAGGCAATGTTTCGTTCTTGTCTTGTTTCGGGTTGGTATCCATGATTTCGTCCTGCTACGATCAAGTCGAACCTGTTCCCTGATTGATCAGCAGCGATTATTCCGTGATTTCGTCTTGTCCTTGTCCTGTGGCAGTCTGATCAGCAGCCGCCTGGCGTCATCCGCGTTATAAACATCGTCCTCAGCACGCGTCATTCTGCACCAAATTCAAGCTTCAGGCTCCTTGATACCAGGCACTGTGGAAGACACACAGGCGTGGTGCTGTTCCTGGTGGCTGCGTACGGCCTTCGCGTCAGATCCGCCGTCAGATCCGCCGCCAGATCCGCCGTCGGATCTGCGGTCGGATCTACTGTCGGATTCGGATCTATCATTACGTCGAGCGCTAGTAATGCTGGATCCGTTGGAAAGCGCGGCGTCGGCAACCGCGCAGCTGTGCATCTTCCCCTTCCGCGCATGCCACAAGGCCGCCACATCGGGCTTCGGCGGAACCACCGCCGGCAGCAGCAGCCCCACTACTGCGAGCGCGAATGACGCCGGGCGAGATGCGACGTCGCCCTTCCCTCCCGCCGCTGCTGCTCCCGAGTTTCTGGACAGTCCTTGGAACGGCAAGGACTCTTGTCGAGCTAAAGCTGCCGTGGTTGTTACTCCGGCGATCATTACAACAACTATTACTGCTGATGCCGCTACGGCTTCTACGGGTAATAGTATCACTACGAGTGGTAGAAGTAGTAGCCCTTCTGCTGGTTTAAGCGGCTCCCCGCTACTCGGTCGCTCAGCGCAAGCTCTGGCGGAGACCTACAAGCTCTCGTTCGACCGCAACAAGCGCTACGCAGCAGGCGCTGGCGGCGCCGCGTCCCATGCAGCGGTTCCCGCTGCGATCCGCGCTCCCGTCGCTCCGGAAATGTGCGCTGTGGTAGCGGCGGGCGCCGCAGTGGCGGCACAGTCTCCCCCCGGAGGATCCGCGTTCTCCGCCGATGCGCCTCCGTCCGCGCCGTTCGTCTTCCGCGCGGGTCAAGATGGTTCGGCAGAGTCAACAAAGTCAACGGCTGTGCGGGCCGGCTTGACGGGTGTGATAAATGGCGGTGGGAGTAGCGACTCGTTACAACATCATCCGCACCAGCCGCAGCCGCAGCAGCAGCAGCAGCAGCAGCAGATACAGTCGGCGCAGCGGCAGCGGCGGGTGCGGCGTTTCTCACTGGATCACGGCATGTCGACGGGACAGCTTCATTCCTTGGCTCTCGCCCTCACACGCACGCTGGAGCGGTGGGTGCTGCAGCAGCGGCAGCAACGGCTGCTGCTGCAGCAGCAGCAGTGCGGGATACCAGGCGTGCTTGTGACTGGAGCGGGTAAGGGCGCTAGCGGGGAGGCGCATTGCGCGGATGCCAATGGCGTGGGGAGGGGCAGCGGGGGAGGGGAGAAGGTTGTAGGAGTTGGCAGGGGTGTTGGGGTTGTGGCAGGCTGTAAAGATGGACAGGGGGAACATGGCGGGAGAGACGAGAAGGGCGAAGGTATTGAGTCGTTGAAGGAGATGCTTATAGCGATGCTAAGGGAGCAGCAGCAGGGACAGCGGGAAGATCTGACAAGCAGTCGATATTCGGGTGAGGCGGGTACGTTTGCGCTTGTGGGGAGCGAAGGAGAGTTGAGGAAAGGGGAGGTGCAGATGTGCGGGGAGGGGGATGGCGGAGACTGCGCGAGTGTGGAGCAGTTTTATCGGCTGGGGGAGGAGGTGGGGCGGGGGCATTTTGGCGTGGTGCGCGTGTGTTGGGACGCGGAGACGGGCGAGCAGTTTGCGTGCAAGTCCGTGCTTCTATCGAATGTCAAAGTATGGCTTGCAATGGAGTGTTGCCCCTTGGTTTTGTTTTGTTCGCGGTATTGCATCTGACTGTAAACGGACTATGGAGATTCATTCCCTCCCAACCTTCCATCCAGCAGCAGATCTAGTGTCATCCTCATTTATTCATGGAGAAACCTCACCACCAGTTTTGATAGCAAGCAGGCCGGCGCATCGCGATTCTTGACGCCACTGACACGACTCCTTCCTCCTCCCCGTCCTCCCCGTCCTCCCTCATATCCCTTCCCTCCATTTTTATCGCCATATCCCCCCCCCTTTTTTTTCCGTCAATCTTCCCCCCTCCCCCTCCCCTCCTCTCCCCACGCCCTTTTTGACATACCCACCTCCGCGCGCACTTCCCCCCGCCCCCGCTTTCACCATGGCAGCGCCAGGAGGACGTGAACGAGCTGCGCGCGGAGATCTGCATGCTGCTGCGCCTGCGCGGGCACGAGCACATCGTCTCGTTGCGCGAGGTCGTCGTCGACGCCGCGCGCGCCGCCGTGCACGTTATAACGGAGCACTGCGAGGGCGGCGACCTGTTCGAGTTTATAGCGCGGAAAAAGCGGCTGAGTGAACGCGAAGCCGCGCTGTTGCTGCGGCAGGTCGTGTACGCGGTACAGCACATGCACACTAACGCGATACTGCATCGCGACCTTAAACCCGAGAATATCCTGCTGGTAAACCCCGCTCCAGCTTCCGCTTCCGCCTCCGCCTCCGCCTCCGCTTCCGCTTCCCTTCTCCCCACGGTCACTACTGGCGCCGGCGCAGACCCTTCCGCGCGGCCCCGTTCCAGCTGCTCCGCACGTGGAGAAAATTCCGTGGAGGGGGAGGGGGAGGCGGGGGAGACGCGGCGGGTGAAAGTCGCTGACTTCGGGCTATCTCTGGTGCTGCAGCGGGGGCAGCAGGTGCGCGGATTGGCGGGAAGCCCATTCTACATGGCTCCGGAGATCGTCAAGCACCAGACGTACGGGTTTGCCGTAGACGTGTGGAGTTTAGGCGTCGTTCTCTACACCGCGCTGGCCGGCGTTCTGCCGTTTTACGGGAAGGATCACGCGACGATCTTCGGCGCGATCTGCCGCGCGCAGCCGGATCTGACGCGGCACCCGTGGGGCGCGGTGAGCGGGGAGGCGAAGCACCTGGTGCGGCGCATGCTGTGCGCGACGCCGCAGGGGCGCATTCCGCTCGCGCAGGTGCTGCTGCACCCGTGGATGGTGCGCCACAACCCGCACGCACGCGCGCAGGGGCACGCGCAGGCGACGGCGCCCGGGGCGGGGGGGTCGGTTCCGCGCGCGCTACCTGCGCTAGTGCACGGGCATGGGGATGGGTCCAAGTGCGCCCGTGACCGTGAGCGTGAGCGCGAGGGTGAGCGTGAGCGTGAGCGTGGGCGAGTGTATGGCTCTGGTGGGTACGGGCTTGGGTACGCGCATATGCAGGCGTGCGCGCAAGACGTTGCCGCAAGGAGCGGGCCTGTTGCTGCGGACCATAAGGGGGCCATGCCGCCTGCTACTGTGCCGCCTGCTGCTGTACCGCCTGCGCATGCTCCTGTGCTGTCTCAGGTTGCGATGCCTGCTCATGCGACCGTGCCTGCTGCTGCTGCCGCGCCTGCTGCTGTGCGTGCTTCTGGTGTTTCCTCAGTGAAGCGTGACGAGAGGGACGAGAAGGAGGAGAGGGGAGGGAGGGAGGGGAGGGAGGGGGAGAAGGGGCAGCAGGTGGGGGGGGATGAGGCGAGGGCCCCGGAGAAGCGGAGCGAGTTGCAGAGTGCTCTGCAATCGTCATCGCCCCTGCAGCAGCACAAGCAGCAGCAGTACCAACGGTTGCAGCAGCAGCAGCAGGGCACAGAGCACATTCCCATGTCCCCCCGTGCCTTCCGCGCCTTCCCCTTCCTCCCCGCCTTCCGCCTCCGCCCCCCGCCCCTCTCCCTAGCGGGCATGCTAGGCACAGTAGGCTGGGAGTCCGCAGCAGGGGAAGGCAGCGCAGCAGGGGGAAGGGAGAGGGGGAGAGAAGGGGGAAGGGATGGGCGGAGAGAAGACCCATGGGGGGAAGGACTGGGGGGGATGGAGAGTGCGCCAAACTCCCCTTATCTTCCCCGTGTTGCGCCCTCCTCTCCCCACTCCCCCGTCGCGTCGCCTGCGGCCTCCCCCTTCTCTCGCCCCATGCGCTATCGCGACCGCTTCGCCCAGTTACTGCCGCTCCCTCCTGCTGCTCTCCCTGCGACCCAGCACCCTCCTGCTGCTGCTGCTGGTGCTGGTGGTGGTATTGTTGGTGCTGCTCGTTCTGCAGGTGGCATTGCTGCTGATACTGCTGTTGGTGTGTCACAGCAGTCGAACCCACCAAGCACTTGTGCTGCAGATGCTACCACCACTGCTGCCACCACGATTGCTCCAACTACAGGCACCACCGCTGCTGGCACAAGCAGGCGTCTGTTATCACCAGGTCTGTGTGCAAAGAGCAGCAGCATTGACAGCAGGGGGGAACCTATGAAGGAGGACAGTGCAGCCATGCGAGACCACAGCAGCAGCACCAGCAGCAGCCATAGCAGCAGTGGTAGGAGCCACAGCAGCAGCAACAGCAGCAGCAGCAGCAGCATCAGCAGGCTTTCCATCATGAGTACTCATGGCTCTCTCCTGAAGGCGAAAAGGGTGCATCCAGGCCCTGACACTGTTCCACCTCCCACCACTGCCTCCCTTCCCCCTGCTTCCCCTCCCACTGCTTCCCTTCCCCCTGCTTCCCCTCCCACTGCTTCCCCTCCCACTGCTTCCCCTCCCACTGCTTCCCCTCCCTCTGAACTTCCTCTCTCTGTGCACCCTCATCCTATCGCCTCCCCTCCCGCTGTTACTCCTCCTGCTTCCTCACCTCATACCATTTGCTCCCCACTCACAGCTTCCCCACTCACAGCTTCCCCACTCACAGCTTCCCCACTCACAGCTTCCCCACTCACAGCTTCCCTTTTAACTGCCTCTCCTCCTGCTGCTACTCCGTCCTCTTCCTCTCCTCATAGCACCACTGCCTTTTATCCCGGCCATGCTTCCTCTCCCGTCACCTTCGCGCCTCCACCGCCCCTGTCCCACTCATCCTCGCCGCGATTCCGCTCCCGCTCCCCTCACTCCCCTCGGGTATCTCCCATCACTGCCGCTCTCGCTACAACCAGAGCAGCAGAAGCATCAACCAGAACCGTTGGGTTTTCGCCCCTTGGGTTTGCTGCTGCTGCTGCTGCTGCTGCTTCTCCTGCTGCTGCTGCTTCTCCTGCTGCTGCTCCTCTTCTCTCCGCTGCTGCTCCTCCCCCCTTTCCTGGTGCTACTGCTGCTGCTCCTCCCCTCTTTCCTGGTGCTACTGCTGCTGCTCCTCTGGCTGACCCTGCAGCTACAGCTAATCTTTCTGCTTCTGTTGCCGCCAACCCACCAGTGACATCTGTCCCTGGTGCGCACATTGCTCCTAACCCCCAGTTTCCCTCTCATGCCACACCTCCTCCCTATCCTGCTCTCCACCCTACATCACCTCTTTCTGCTTCCTCTATACCTGCGCCTGCCTCTTTTCTTCCTCTTCCTCCAACACTCTCTCCTCCTGCCAACTCCTCAAATATCAGTCCTGCGCCCCCCTCAGTTAGCTTCTCAGTGCCTTCCTGCAAGGCTCTCCCCACTGGTTTGATCACAGTGCATATTCTTACTACACCCAGTGCCTCCCCAACTGCTGTCACACCATCTCATGTTCTGCCTCCTACCACCTCAGCACACACAGTCTTGAAGTTTGAGGAGTAGACGGCAGCAGTGGGAAGGGGGGTGGGGTGGGGGCAGCAGTGGGAGGGGGGTGGGGTGGGGGCAGCAGTGGGAGGGGGGGTGGGGTGGGGGCAGCAGTGATAACACTGAACCCGTTCTCCCTTCCATGGTCCACCCCTGCCTTCTCCTTACGCCATCTCCTGTTATGCATCCTACCTCCGCACACACACACGATGCTCGAGGTTGGGAGGATTAGAGGGCGGAAAGGATGAGGGGCTGACAGTAGGGGTAGCTGTGGAAGGGAGGGAGTAGACGGCGCTGGGGAGGGGGGGAGGAAACGAGGCTAGAGTGGGTGGAGGAGAGGAGGTGGGGCAACAAGAGGGCTAAGGCGGGGGAACGTGTAAGTGGGGTTAATTCGTGTGGAGGTGGTTGGCTGTGAATCCAGAGGATATGGTACTGTGGCAGCCTGCATATGTAAGTCTTTTGTGTCTGTCACAATTGTTGGGAGATCCTGAACACCTGGTGGTGCAATTGTCAGTGCATATACGGTACTACACAGTATTCTTGAAATACGTTTGACTAAAAGCAATTGTACTGTAAGATTTGTACCAAAAAGCAGTCTCAGTCAGTTATACAAATTGAACAAGAAAGAAGCCCATGTACTTAGCAGGCATACGCCTTAACCATTGTATTCCCTTTGTGATAGAGTATCATACTGACAATCTTCTTTAAATAGCGGACGTTTCTATATCAGGGATATCGGCATACTGTGTTCATCGCCAGCCGTCGATGAACCTACAGCGTCGGAAATCCGCAGTGTGGCTATGCGTCAGCACGGAGGGTTCTCCAAGCACAGCAGGTGGAGGCTCGGGCATGATCCACATCATCCTGACATACCTCCAGGTGATGGAGAGCCATCCAGCTGTTGGCACGTGTCGTCTACCTTCGTATGCGCTGTCGCTCTCGAGATACACAAGCCGCCTCGACCCTGTCGAAACCTTGTTTGGTTCGGCGCTTAGTCGCTGGTTTTCTGGTTTGGGCGAGCCGGGCATGGAGACTGCGAAATGCCCACGCCACAGAGGCGTGGAACAGCGAAATTGATGGATGTTTCGCGATTGGCAACAATTCGATTTTCTTGCTTGCGAACGAGGACGATTTCGCGTAGGTGCGCTCACGGTGTCGGTTTGACGAAGATGTGCTTGGGGGATTTCCGAACCGAACCACTCCGCCGAGCCAGTCAAAGCAGCCGAACCAGTGCATGCAACTCTTGTGCAGTACACCCTCATTCTCAGTCTGTGCACAATCGCCACATGAACATGCCAGCTGTAATGACATCAATGCGTCCAACATGGTCCAAGAACATACGCTGAAAGCACATTTGCCGTACTCAGCCGTACGGAAAACTAATTGTAAGTTTACATACCGTTGTTTACCGTTCCCCGGGAGTGCGTTTGCCCGCCACCTACCTAGAGTTCGGCTCCAAGCACCAGATCGCTAGGGTCCAAGCAACAGTACGCACTGTAGCCAGGGCTCCCAATTGTGCGTAGTCTGAGAATGAGGGTGTACAGTAGTAGCAACACAGAGATCTCCTTCATTTCCTCTTCTGTACGTAAAACGCTTTCGTGTACGAGCTAATTCGGTCAAGCACCTCAACAAGGTAGCCATCCACGCGAGCTGCAACTTGTAGATTTCGGAGCAGTTTGATCCATCCGCAGTTTTGCGCGTTTCTCCCTTGCTGCCCTTGGCTCGTCACCTTCAGCCTCTCCTCGCTTGGCGTCGCTGCACCTGCTGCGCCCTCCCTCCACCTTTCACCGCCCCACGCTTGCTCGTCTCCCACTCGCCCCATCTCGTCGCTGTTATTCGCCGCTTTTCTCTCTCATCGTTCCCGTCCGCGTCGTCCTCCTCATCCTCCCCCGTCGCCCCACACGTCTCCTTGTTTTCTCGCCATGGCGGAGCGCGGAGTCTCGCTGCCGGACCAGTTGGTTGGCTTCTCGAACTTCAAGCGCCATAACCCCAAGACGGACCGCTTCGAGGTGCTAGATTTCCACCACGTGGAGTTCTGGTGCGGCGACGCGACGAGCACGTCGGGCCGCTTCTCCTGGGGCCTCGGCATGCCGCTCGTCGCGAAATCCGACCTCACGACGGGTAACCAGACGTACTGCAGCTACGTTCTTAAATCGAACGACCTCGTGTTTGTCTTCTCCGCGCCGTACGGCGACCACGTGGCGCAGGCCGCCGCCGCGGGGTCGACGCCGCCGCCGGCGGCGGCGCCGGCGCCGGCGACGAACGGCGCGCCGCTGCCGTGGTTCGAGCGGCAGCAGGCGTCGGAGTTCTTCGCGCGGCACGGGCTGGCGGTGCGCGCCGTGGGAGTGAAAGTGACGGACGCGCAGGCGGCGTATGAGACGAGCGTGGCGCACGGCGCGACGGGCGTGGTGCCGCCGACGAAGCTGGTGGACAGGTGAGGAGGAGCAGGGGCGTCTCGAATTCGTGTGCTCTCGGTCTTGCCCACGGAGATTGTATAAACCAATCCTAGCTGAGCTTGGTGATTAAGCCGGAAGGAATTCGAACAGACATCAAGTTAATTATCTTGTACGGGAGAAAGAATCACGAAACTACTGAATTTTATTTGTTTCCTGGGCTTCCAGTCCAAGCCGTCACGCATGGACATGTCTCGCGAACCACCTTCTTATATTATCTTCTCCTCCCCTTCCCATTGACGCAACCCCTCCCCCTCCCCCTCTCTGCTCCCCCCTCCACCGCCTCTCCCCGCCACACCTTCCCTACGCCTTCGCCGCCCTTCCCCCTCCTCCTCCCCCGTATCCATCACCTTCACACCACCTCCTCTCTTCCCATCTCTCCCTTTCCTCTCTCCCACCCTCTTTTCTCCCGCGTCCGTCCTCCTCCTCCTCCCTCTAGCCTATCTTTTCAACTTCACCCGCTTCCTTGCACTCCCCCACTCCAGCAAGGGCTTCGGGTCCGTGACTCTAGCCAAAGTGGCTTTATACGGCGATGTGGTGCTACGATACGTGACCAGCACGCCTCCTGCGCTGGTCCCTTCGTCTCCAACTATTCACCGCTTTTCCTCCCCCCCCCACAACTCCTCGCCCCCCTCCCTCAAACCCCTCCCACTGCAGCAAGGACGGCGGGTCCGTGACTGTAGCAGAAGTGGCTCTATACGGCGACGTGGTCCTTCGATACGTGACCCAGCACGCCTCCTACTCCGGCCCCTTCCTCCCCAACTACGCGCCCGCCTCCAACGCCGTCTCGTCCTACGGCCTCACCCGTCTCGACCACGCCGTGGGAAACGTTCCCAAGCTTCTCGACACCGTGCGACACATTCTGAACTTCACGGGGTTTCATGAATTCGCGGAATTTGTTGCGGCAGACGTGGGGACGCTGGATAGCGGGCTGAATTCCATGGTGCTTGCGAATAACGCGGAGAATGTTTTGTTTCCGATTAACGAGCCGACGTTCGGCACGCCGCGGAAATCGCAGATCCAGACGTACCTGGAGCACAACGAAGGGCCGGGATTGCAGCATCTCGCGCTCTCGTGCACGGATATCATCGCGACGCTGCAGGAGATGCGCGCGCGGACGGAGCTGGGGGGGTTTGACTTCATGCCGCGGCCGTCGGCGAATTATTACAAGGAGCTGCCGAAGCGGATTGGGCCGGATAGCGGGTTATCGGAGAAGCTTATAAAGGATTGCGAGACACTGGGAGTGCTGGTGGATAGGGATGATCAAGGTGTGCTACTGCAGATCTTCACACGACCTGTGGGGGATAGGTGAGTGTTTTTGTACATACACTGTTTGTTTCTGTCACCTCTTGTAGTGCTCTCTTGCTCTCCTTCCACACGCTCGGCTCCCCTCCCTTGTGACCTCACTCTGTTCCTCTTCCCGCCCCCTGTTTCCACCTTTTTCTTTTCAACCCCTCCACCCCTTTCAACCCCTCACTTTCCCTAAGTCGATCCCTGTTTCTCACTTATCCCCTCCTTATGGCAGGCCCACACTGTTCCTGGAGATTATTCAGCGTGTGGGGTGCATGTACCCTGGGCCAGATGGCACCCTGCTGCAGAAGGGAGGCTGTGGGGGGTTCGGCAAGGGCAATTTCTCGGAGCTGTTCAAATCCATCGAGGATTATGAGCGGCTGCTGGATGCCTGATCCAGGAATAAATGCTGATGCTTGTCAGTGCAAGTATTTGTGATCTTGTTTTCATTTTTGGTGGATGATGTGGATTTCTTCTGCTGATTTTATTGCTGTAGATAAAATCCCGTTTTTGTAATTATGCTATAAATCGTTAACGAATTTCACTGTTGTGAGGAGCTATTCCAGTAATCAAATCCTTCGCTGATGTGAAGCAAATCTTTTGTTCTATACATTGTCAACATCTGTCACGAAAAACAAGTTTGTACGAAGCATTGCAGTACGTAATACGGAAACCAGCTGCTGCCGCAATCGAGGCCATCGCAAAAGAGTGGTTTTTGTATTCCCCGTACTCACCTTCTCATTGCTGCTTCCTTCTTGCCGCCCTGCAAAATGGCTACTCTTTTTCCTCACACCTCATACCGCCAAGCTCCCGAGTCGTCCCACCACTGCCTCCGCCGCGATTTTTCGTTCCGACGCGCTCCAGCCTGTAGGTTACGCGTCGCCTCGCGATGTAACATTGTTGCTGGTTACCACTCCAGGCGGCCCAATCATGGCGGCTTGGGTGGCTCTTGCGACGGAAACCGAGTCGTGAAGGACGGATTTAACGATTTCCGGAAGCGGAACGCTGGCCGCGTTCCGCGGGCGGCTTTTGCTGTCTGCAGTGCAGCACGCGCGGACGACGATGATAATGACGCGGGGAGCTCCGCGGAACTCGCGTCCGCGGCGGAGCGGAAGGCGGGGAGGCGACTAGCGGGTTCCTTTGGCGCGGAAATGCGACGGGATGAGATGGAGAGAGGAGAGTGGCGGAGAGAAGAGACTGGGAGAGGAGAGAGCGAGGGAGGAAGAACCGGTGAGAGGGACGGGGAGTTGGAGGAGGGGGAGACGGAAGGAGGGATGGTGGAGCGGGAGAGGGAGACGAAGGACGGCGGCTGGCCATGGAGGGAAGAGGAGCAAGCGGCGTGGCCCGTGCCGCGTGTAGTGGACTCAAAAGTCATTCTTAAAGACTTCCTGGTGAGCGGTCGAGAGTGGTTTTTGAGTCATTTTCTTAAAGCCTTTCCGCTGTGCGGTGGAGAGTGGTGGGGTTGGATGCAGGACCATTCCTATTTCAAGCGGTCCATTCCTCCTCCATGCAACCGCACCGCTCTCCACCCCTCATCACCACACACCAATACCGTTCTTCTCATCTACCTCCTGCACCCACCTCTCCCATCTTCCCCCTTCCCTCCCGCCTTTTCCTCCCCCCCTCCCTCCCGCCTTTTCCTCCCCCCCTCCCTCCCGCTTTTTCCTCCCCCCCTCCCTCCCGCCTTTTTCTCCCCACCTTCCCTCCGCTCTTCCCTGCACAGAGCAGAGTGTGCGCAGGGACGTTCTCGCCCTCCCCTCCGGCCGCTCCTCTCCCTACCTCACAGTGTTTGCACGCCCCCTCGCCGTTGCTGTGGTAGGCATCTCACCTCCCCTGCCCTCTTTCCGATTTTTTAGCATTCTCAAAAACCTCCCCTGCCCTCTTTCCATGCTGCCTCTGATTACGAGTCCACTCAAAGCACTCCGGCCGCTCCTCTCCCTACCTCACAGTGTTTGCCAGTCCTCTCGCCGTTACCATGGTAAGCACCTCACCCCGCGTGCCCTCTTTCCTTGCTGCCTCTGATTCTAATCTCCCCGCTTTATCCGCTTCTGTATGCAGCAGTCAGACTGTACACGTTTGGTCAACACCCATGCCTTTCTCGCTCCCTTCCCAACTTCCTCATCCCTCCGTCTTTCCACGCCCCTCCATGGCGACTTTTGAGTCGACCCAAAAGTTTCTTTCTTTCTCCTCCCCCACTTCCTCATCCCTCCGTCTCTCCATGCCCCTCTATTGCTTCGCACCTCTGCACTCCTCTCGTCCCTCCAACACACACCGCACTGCACCCATCAGGTCGCCACGGCTGCTGACAACAAAGTGGTCGTGAATCAAGGTCAGCAGCACAGCACCACAGCACCACAGCAGCACATGCACATACACATGCACATGCACATGCACATGCACATACACATGCACATGGACATGCACATGCACATGCACAGCTTTCTGAAATTGTATCAATGCGCATGCACATGCACATGCAAATGCACACCCACCCACCTACCCCGCCCACCTACCCCGCTCCTTCCCCCTCCGCTTTCCATTCTTCCTCTTCCACGGTCCACCCCCTCTGCTGTGACTCAGAGTACCGGCATGCAGTGGGGGCGTATGTGCTGAGCCTGCCAGGGGGAGTGATGGACGCATGGGAGACGGCAGAGCAGGTGAGGAGGAAGGCGCTGCCACAGGCAGTATTTGAGGCACCTTAAAGAGGGTACCAGCCGGTGATGGCGGCGTATGTGCTGAGTCTGCCAGGGGGGGTGATGGATGCAGGGGAAAGTCCAGAGCAGGTGAGCTCCCAGCAGCAGGGCAGCAGGGCAGCAAGGCAGCAAGGCAGCAGGGCAGCAAGGCAGTAACAGCAGCAGGGCAGTAAGGCAGCAGGGCAGTAACAGCAGCAGGCAGGAAGCAACGGCAGAGAAGGGGGAAAGGGGTCAACTGTCAGTTACCCACCCTGCTGATGCTTTCACCACCGCCCATGTGTCTCACTCACCATCAGCTCTCTAATCGCACTTGCTGCTCGTGCTCTTCTTCCTGATCTCAGCCTTTCTAAAGCCTTTCCACAACCTTTTTTTCTACCAGCCTTCCACGTGCCATGCCACTCATTCTTGCACACCCGCTCACGTGCCCCTCTGCTCCCTCACCTACTCTTGCAGGCGGCAGTGCGGGAGCTTGAGGAGGAGACAGGGTTTGTGGGGCGGGGAGCAGAGGTGATAGGCTCATGCCGCCCTCTCCCTGGTGTGTGGCAGCAGAAGGTGAGAGGAGGAATGTGTTGGCTGTTTTTGTTTTTCAGGCACCTAAAAACAAATGCGCTGGCGCCCTGTTTATGGGGTGTGGCGGCAGAAGCTGGGGTGAGCAAGAGTGGGGTGTGTGCTGCGGTCTATCAATCATGGGCAATGAATATAGCTGTACAATAGCGGTAAAACTGTACGTTAGCTGTACATTAGCTGTACATTAGCGGTAGCGGCATGTGAGTTATGACGTGTCATCTTGCCACGATGCGTACGATGAGTATCCTACTGCTCAACTCAAGCCTGCCGTAGAACTTGCTGTTCAGAAAAGTGCCGTACGTTCTTTCTTTCCTTGTGGTGCTTGGCTTTGCTGGCAGGTGTTGTTTGTGCATGTTCAGATCAACGATGGTGAGCGAAGAAGAGCAACGGCAAGGGAAGGCACAGAGACACTAATGCACACAAGCCTTGTACCGCTTCACGACATTGCCGCAAGCATTAAAGCGGGAGTTGAGGTAGATGGTGTGCTGCTTTCTGGCTTGTTCTTTGCGGGCCTTGGTAAAGGCTAGGAATCCAGATGCTGTTGTCATTGTAATTATGGCATTTCAATGTTGACATGTTCTACATATCCGGCAACTCGTATGTAGCAAATTTTTTAGTACCAATGACAAATTCCTTGGGGCCCGGGTGATTTCGAGATTTTAGGAAGGTTCTTCACGGTAGAATACGATTGATAACTTTTTCGCCACGGTGCAAGGCGGTTTGAGTTCGAACTCAAGAAATTTTTCCAAAAGATCACACATGCCCTTACCACCAGACAATTTTCCATCCTGTAATTCAATTCCTTCCGCTATGCCGCCGCGCATACTCCTTGCCAAACCGCCGCCCGCGAATCGCGCCGCTTCGGACGCGCAATCGTCCGCTAGCGGCGCTTCCGAGAGACCGCTTCCGCCCAGCACCGCCGCTGGCACGCCAGGAAATTTCCGCGCATCTCCGTTTGCGAGCGTCGGGGACGGCAAAGCCTCCGCCCCTCTCTCCGCCTCCGCCTCCCCCTTCCCTACCCCCGCGGACGCTTTCCGCCACAGCGCGGGCGCGGTTCCGCAAGTGTCGATCGCGCGACCGGGGATTTTAACGACTAGTGGTATTCTGCCGTACGTTAGTCCGGATGCTGGCGCTGCGAGTGCGAGTGGAGCCGGAAATGCCGCCGCGATTGGCGGCGGGACTGGCGGCGGCGCAGCTGTAGGGAGCTATGCGCACGGCACGGGGAGGGCGCATGGTGGGGGTTATGGCGGAGGCGCGGGAGGGTACAGTACAGGGGGGACCGGGGGAGCAAGCGCGGGGGGAAGGGGAGGCGCTGGGGGGAGCAGCACCAGCCGCGCATCCTCCCTTGACGCGCCTGGGGCTTCCGCTGTGCGCATTCTAAGGGATGACAGGGCGGGGGGAGGCGCGGGCGCAGGGGGAGGCGCGGGGGCAGGGGGAGGCGCGGGGGCAGCGGGGGCAGATGCGGAAGGCGAGGGGAGGGGGGGTAGACTCGAAACTGGCTGGTCATTAGGCGCAGAGGAGTTTCTGAGCGCAGGCGGCGAGGGGAGGGGAGGGGCAGGGGTACGGGGAGGGGGAGGGGGAGGGGCGGAGGGAGGGGAAAGAAGGGGAGGGAGGGGCGGTGAAAGAAGCGCAAGGGGATCAGGAGGAGCAGGAGGAGGAGCAGGAGGAGGAGGAGTTGCAGAACGAGGAGGGGTTGCGGGGAGTAGCTCGGAGAGACGAAGCAGCCTGGGATCAGGGGGGATAGGGGGGGATCGGGGGGGTACAAGCTCCCGCGCAACAGCAGCAGCAGCAGCAGCAGCACCACCATCCCTAGTACCATCCTCCTCAGGGGCAGCAGCAGCAGCAGCAGCCGCAGCGGCAGCAGGGGGCGCAGCAGCGGCAGGGGCAGGTGGAGGGGGAGTAGGAGCAGCAGTTGCGTCTGTCCCTGTGTTACCTTCCTCCTCCTCCTCCGCTTCCTCATCCACAGCAGCTGTAGCGAGTGCGAGTGTGACTCTGGTGAACGCGGCATGGGATTTCACTCCTGAACGGCTGCTGCAGGTGATGATTGGTGCAGGTGATGATTGGTGCAAGGGATGATTGCTGCAGGAAAAGATTGGTGCAGGTGATAACTGCGGTAGGTCTTTCCACCCTCCCCTTTCCTCCCCACGTCCCCCTCCCTCTTCCACCTCCCCCTTCCCCCTCCCGCTTCCCCCTCCCGGCCTTACCCCATTGTTCTGAGTGGGACTGTGGTGGAAAAATAAAAAAGCGGTGGCGTGTGGAACCACTTAGTAAGCGGTGGTGTATTCAAAAGGAACCACGGGCCCACACTCTGCCTTCGACTCAAAAGTATCCTCGGGCCCCTTGCTCCCGCTTTTGAGTCGACTCGAGAGTATCCTCGTTCCCCACACCTCCCCCTTTCGCTCATCAGGCGCTCTCAGACAACACGGACTTCACAGTGCTGGCAGTGGTGGGTCCGCCCTCCCTCTCCCCCTTCCCCCTCAGCCTGTTTCCTTCATGCTCTCTCACGCAACATGGTCTCTCCCCCTTTCCCCCCCTTCCCTCCCCTCCCATCAGGCCCTCTCAGACAACACGGACTTCACAGTGCTGGCAGTCGTGGGTCCGCCCTCCCTCGGCAAGTCATCGCTTCTTAACGCCCTTGCTGCCGCTCACATCCCCGCCAGTGCTGCCGCTGCTGGTGAGCCAATGCGAGGTGACTTTTGAGTCGACTCAAAGGTCACCAAGTCATCGCTTCTTAACGCCCTCGCTGCCGCGCACATCCCCGCCAACGCCGCTGCCGCTGCTGGTGAGCCCATACAGCAAGCCTGCTTTCTCCCGCCCCTGCTTCCCCACATGTCCTCGCTATCGCTCGCATCCCATCCCGCCCATGTCTCTTCTGCTGAGCGCCCTCTTTTCACCCATGTTTCTCCCACGCCTTTGACCCTCTCAAAATCCTTTACCCCATTTCAAGCCCTCCCCGTTCCACCTCTCCTACCCCCTTTCCCGCCCCCTCTCCCCTTTCCCGCCTCAAAAGTTTGTTCTCTCTGCTCTTAGGGGAGAGTGACTTTGTTCCCCCTGGGTGGAGTCGGGTGGGGTGGGGTGGGGTGGGGTGGGGCGGTGTTTTGTTTGCGCTCTTTGACTTGCCTCAACAGCCATTCCCTTTTCTCTCTCATTCACTCTTGCGGGGATGTCTTTCCCCAAAGCGTTTGGGAGGGGTGTTTGCGGTGGGGGGCGAGGAGCAGGTGTTGGAGAGGTTACTTTTGAGTCGACTCCCATGTCCCTTTCCCCTTTCTCTCTCCCTCCACTCTTGCGTAATTTCCTTTCCCCAGGGCCTCTGGGAGGGGTGTTTGCGGTGGGCGGGGAGGAGCAGGTGTTGGCAGGGCGGCACTGCAGCAGTGGTGTGGAGGCGCATGTGACCTCGGATAGGCTGTTGCTCATAGACACGCAGGTGGGTGGTTGGGTTTGGAGGGTCCGGAGGGTTTGGATGTGTGTGGATGGGTATGACATGCGGATGAAAATCCCAGGCAGGAAACGCTTACCAAGGCACAGCACTGCAGCACTGCAGCAGTGGTGTGGAGGCGCATGTGACCTCGGATAGGCTTCTGCTCATAGACACGCAGGTGGGTGGTTGGGTTTGGAGGGTCCGGAGGGTTTGGATGTGTGTGGATGGGTATGACATGCGGATGAAAATCCCAGGCAGGAAACGCTTACCAGGGCACAGCACTGCAGCACTGCAGCAGTGCAGCACTGCAGCAGTGGCGTGGAGGCGCATGTGACCTCGGATAGGCTTCTGCTCATAGACACGCAGGTGGGCGGGTGGATGGAGAAGATGTTGGGAGGGTGGGTGGGGCTGTTGTACCGGTGGTGAGCTGCTGTGATAGGCGTGCTAAGAAAAGGCGTTGCAGCATTGGCGTGGGTCGCGCCTGTGCCCCACCTGCATGGATAGAGGTGACTTTTGAGTCGACTCAAAAGTCACCTCGGGTGCTTCCTGTGACCCTCCTGCGTGGATAGACTACTGCCCAGCTCATTGACACGCAGGTGGGTGGGTGAGGAATGGGTGGGTGGTTGGGTCGGTTGGTGGGTGGGTGGATGGGTGGATGGGCGAGAAAGAGGTTGTTGTGCATGTTAGAGGAGTGGTGGGGAAGGATATGGTGTGGAGGCATATAAAACGGCACCCTCTCAATCCCTTGTTCCACCACAATCAAACTTCCGCCTCTCCCTGTCCCCCCCTCATCTTGAAGGGGTTCTCCATCACCTTGAACTCCGCCTTCTTCCCCTCACCTCCCTTCAATATTGAAATCACTTTTGAGCATTCTCAAAAGACGAGGTCATAGACTCGCCTTGGACTCCGCCTTTTTCCCCTCGCGCCCTTCCCCCCGCTGCGTCCCTACTAACCACCTTGCCTCTCCATTCTCTCCCACCCCGCCATCAGCCCATCAACAGCGCCTCTATCCTCCTGGACGTCGCTCGTGCGGACGGAACCGCCAGCATTGACATCATCCCTCCTCTTCCTCCTCCTCCTGCCGCCGCTGCTGTTGCTGATGGTGATGCTGCTGCGGCTGCTTATGCTGGGGAGGCTGGGGATTCTACTCTGATCAGTGCTGAGCTCGCACATACCATCATGGGACTGCAGGTCAGTGTGTATTCTATGCGTCGCCACTGCTGCCGCTGATTGTGATAATGGTGATGCTACTTCTGTTTTGCTGCTGCTGCGTACGCTGGGGAGGCTGGAGATTCTGCTCCCGCTCACACCATCATGGGTCTCCAGGTAGGTCTGTAATTCAAGGGATTAAAGGCGCCTCAAGAGTTTTGAGACGTCTCAAAACACTTCTTCAAACACGTGATTAAAGTCGCCTCAAGAGTGGTGCATAATTCAATCAATTAAACCCTGGCTCGTGCCTCCTCCATCTTTCTTCCTGCCCCATGCATCGGAATATGAACTGAACTGAGATGGAATGCTTTCAGCATGGGGGTGTTTGATTTAGTTGACTCTTTGAATGGGATGAAGTACCGGTAGGATGTGGAGAATACAAGGGTGTGTATACACAGACTCACGTACATATGCACACGCATGCACATGCACGCACACACACGTGCACGCACACGCACATACACAGGCTCACACACAGACAGACCAACACACACACACAAGCACACACACGCACACACTCACACCACGGACGCACACACACACAAGCACTTAAACTTGCAAATCCCAATCCCCCACTCTCCCCACCCCACCTGTTGCCCTGTACCCAGCTAGGAGTATTCCTCTTCTCAGTGTGTCACCTGGTCATCGTGGTGTGCGATGGAGTAAATTATCGCACCATCACACACGCATGCAGTTTCCAACCCTCCCCCCCCAACTCCCCATCCCCACTCACCATCCCCACTCCCCCTCCCCTGCTGTCCGGTGCCCAGCTAGGGGTATTCCTCTTCTCCGTGTGTCACCTGGTGATCGTGGTGTGTGATGGGATAAACGATCGCGCCACCTGGGAGTACATCCAGACCGTTCAAATGCTGCGCCTCTCCCCATCTCAAAGCCCCTGGGGCCCTTCAAAGCCCGCTGCAACCTCGGCTGCTGCTGCTGCTCCTGCTGCTCCTGCCGCTGCTGGTGCTGTTGGTGCTGTGGGTGCTGCTGGTGCGGCTGGTGTCCCGTCTACTACTGGGGTGGAACAGGGGGAGAGCTGCAGTTGGGTGGGGGATGAGGTGGTGTTGGGGAAGGAGGGCGAGGAGAGCTTCACTGCCGATGCTCTCTTTGTCTTCGCCAGGTGCGTTTTGCGGTGTGCTTTTTGCATGCTGGCACGAGCACTCGCTCAAACACTCCCTCCAACCAAACCTCCAACCAAACCTCCAACCGAACCTCCAACCGAACCTCCAACCGAACCTCCAACCGAACCTCCAACCGAACCTCCAACCGAACCTCCAACCGAACCTCCAACCGAACCTCCAACTGAACCTCCAACCGAACCTCCAACCGAACCTCCAACTGAACCTCTCCCTGCCCATGCCCATGCTCAACCCTTCGACCCAATTCATCAAGAATACATGTTTCTACTGCTCAATACATGTTTCTACGTGACTTCCCATCGTTCTCCACTGCTCTCACCTTTAAACACTCTCTCTAACTGCCTGCATATCTCCCTCCCATCAATCCACCCTATACCCACCCCCCTTACATAACACCTCCCCTCGACACACCCACCTGTCGAACCCCACCAAAGTCCCTTTATTGGAATCACATTTGCTCCTTCCTCTCTCTGACTGTCAATCTTCCCTCCCCAACCCACCAACCCCAGCACCAGAATCCAACCATCTGACTCCACACCCGACTTTTGAGGCGCCTCAAAAGCTGACTGCCAATCTACCTCCCCAACCCACCCATTTGTCCAACCCCACCCACCAGAGTGCCCCCTTCTGAATTCACACCCGGTCAGCTCTCCTCCTCCCTCTCGCACCTCTCCTCCCTCCTCGCCCACACCACTCTCCTCACCCCGCCCTCGCGACTCATCACCCCTCCTCTCCCTTTCACCTCGCCTCCTCTCACCCCTCCTCTTCTATTCCCGCTCGGGTCTGGTAAGTCAGAAGAGGGAAAAGGGAGCAGAGGAAGTAGAGGAAGCGGAGGGGAAAGCGAGAGAGGAGGGAGCAGAGGGAGGGGAGGGAGAGGGAGAGGGAGAGGGGGAAGAGTAGGGTACTTGAAAAGGGGGTACGGTGATGGTGAGGGGGTTGGGGATGGGGCCAATCTCGGGGCTAACCCAAAACAGCACATATGGGAGAATGGAGGAGTGGGAGGAGCGGGAAGAGCGGGAGGAGGGGGAGGAGGGGAAGAAGCAAGCAGGAGGAGCAGGAGGAGCAGGAGGAGCAGGAGGAGCAGGAGGAGCAGGAGGAGCAGGAGGAGCAGGAGGAGCAGGAGGAGCAGGAGGAGCAGGAGGAGCAGGAGGAGCAGGAGGAGCAGGAGGAGCAGGAGCAGGAGGAGGTAGGGATAGTGGAGAATTGCAGGGCAGCATGCCAGGAAGTCAAGGTGGGAGGGAGGAGGAGGAGGAGGGGTGTGTCAGTTTCTGGATACTGCCATCTGAAAACCCCTGGGCGTGGGCAGAGGGTGCTGCAGTGGATGCAGCGTTAGGAGGCGAGGGAGGGAGCAGGGGGATGGGGAGAGCGGCGGCAGGAGGCAGTGGAATGGGGTCGTTGAGTAGCTACAGGCTGCAACTGAAGCACAAGGTGCGTTGATAGTAACGAGTTGGGTTGATAATTGATAGTAACGAGGAAACTGCCAAGGCATGTTCGGGGCATATCAAAAGCACAGGGTGCTGCAACTGAAGCACAAGGTGTGCTGATACTGGAGAGGGTGGGTTAATACTTATGACGGTGGGTTTCTGATAGCATGGGTTTCTAACAGCTAGCCAGATCTAGCCAAATCTAGCTGTTTCCTGTAAGCTAACTGTTTCTTGTAACTGTAACCTATCCCCTCTCCCCTCCACCCCCCTCTTTCCGCGGCAGATCCTAAGCATGCACAAGAAGCCCGCTCCGGAGCTGATAACAGAGAGAGAGTGGGCGATGAGAGCAGCAGCAGCAATGAGGGGGTGTATCTATATCCTTTCACCCTTGTCCTCCCCCTCTTCTCCCCCACGCCAGATCCTAAGCATGCACAAGAAGCCATTCCCAGAGCCAATAACGGAGAGGGAGTGGGCGATGAGAGCAGCAGCAGCATGGGCCGCTGTGCGCGCATCACCCCTCATCGCACAATTTGCTCACTTCCTCCAAGCGTCTTCGCTCTTCCAACAGCCATAGGCTGTTGCAGGGCTCTTTAAACTTCGAGTCGACTAAACAAGAACCTGAAGAGTCCCGCGCCCTTTTTCCCTGCAATGCAAGCTTCCTTGCTATATCCAGTAGGCCTAGGCTAGGCAATAACGTTCTAATATGTTCGGTATTACCAACCAGTTCAGGGATTGAGCTTGCCAGCAGTTGCCCTGCTCCTGCAAGCCTCCTCTCATCTCAGCCCAACACATCAACCTTACATTTCAGATGCCATTGTGGGCATTGCAAGCACGGGGTGAAGTCAGCGCAGCAGCAGGGATAGGGTAGGGCAGTAGTAATTGTTGTAAATGAGCAAGCACAGGTCCCAACCAACAAGAATTGCTTGAGTCGACAAGCCATCATTGCATTGCCATCCTCTACTGGTAGTATTAGTAGTAGTAGGTGCTAGTAGGTAATTGTACCATGACTTGGCCAGTAGAAATTACCAGCTTCACGCTCTTGGTACCAAATTCTCCCTGTGGTGGATTGGATTGCCCGTATGATGATGTTATGTTACACATGCAGGAATTTGATGTCCTGCCATCCCACCAGTTCCCCGTTTGCTTGCAATGCAAGTGCACTAAATGACACATACGGTACGGTAGGTACCGTAATCACCCGGACATAACACCCGGGGGTATTATGATAACCACAGGGAAAAAAGGGGGGGGGTCCTCTCAACGGAAAATCCTATATAATACCCGGGTGGTTATATATGGCACTTTTTAGTGTAAGAAAAAAAATAAATTAGACAATTTGGGTGTTTCAATAGTCGTTATAACATCACAGGTTGAGGCGAGAATTCGAGTTTTGGCGAGAAAGCGAGTTTCACCTCTCGGGCCACGTGCAGCAAAAGATTCGCCAGCGTGGCGACAGCGAGATTGTGGAAGGGAGGGAATCTCGGTAGATTCGAAGTGAAAGTGCACGCGAAATTTCATTCAGGGAGCGATTTTCGTCATATCCTCCCGTAAAAAATCTGACTCGATAACAGCTATAATAGGGTTTCGTAAGAAAAGGGGGTGTTATAAAGAATCGCCCCAAAAGGGGGGGTATAGTACAAACGAGGTCGGCTATAGCACCCCCCCCGCACAAGCTACCCGGGGGTGTACTATTACGGGGGGGTGTTTTGTCCGGGTGATTACGGTATCAGGTATCTACAGTAAGTCACCAATATAGTGACATGCCCACGAGAGTACATTGGCATTTTGTAATGCATACACAGAATACAAAAGAATGCGAGACTTGGGTACATGCACTTCACCCAAAGACTCTTGTACCGTAGTGAAATAACGTTCTTCTAGTGGACCGTTCTTACGGTGTTAACACTCGACGCACTTGGCAGTGCAGCCTGTAATATCGCTCCGACTGCATTTCCAGCAGCCTCGAAACCTGCAGCCAAGACAAAGCAATGGGAAGAGGACGAGCGAGAAGGCCTCGTTTTGAGACACTTGCAATGAGCGTTGGCGAGGCCTACGAAAAAGACACTCGCCATCACAAGGTGCCATCGCAAGGTGCCATCGCAAGGTGCCATCACAAGGTGCCATCGCAAGGTGCCATCGCAAGGTGCCATCGCAAGGTGCCATCACAAGGTGCCATCGCAAGGTGCCATCGCAAGGTGCAAGCCAAACCCTTCCTGCTCATTCAATCACAACACCTTCTTCAATAGCCCAGAGAGATGGCGCACAGGGAGCAGTTAAAGCTGCACCTTGTGAGACGTCTCAAACTATTAGCAATACTTTTAAGCCCCTAACTTCTGTGAATGCGAATGCCTCTTCTTGCATTCGCATGGGGACAGCTCGTGCATGGGGAGCATTGAAGACGAGGTGAGGGTGGAGAAGGAGGAAGCAGCGAGGAGAAAGAGGAGGAAAGGAGGGAGGGAGGAGGGCGTGCAGATACCGCTCGGTGGAACGTCGATCCCTCCTCCCGCCTGGAGAGCTGACACACTGGAAGTACTGCAAGTCGACTCAAGCTGCACCTAAGCCCCCGCTTACCGCTCGGTGGAATGCAAACTCCTCTTCTCGCCCGGACAGCTGGCGCACGGGGAGTGTGGAAGAGGAGGTGAGGGCGGAGCGACCCCCCTCTGCCAACACGTCCCTTCTTAGGCGACTGCCCCCCACCTCTGACTCAAACTGCAAGCTGTTGGGAACAGAGGAGGGGAGTCAAAGGAAGAAGGGGGGAAATGCAGGCAGAATTTAACAAGAAGCGACAGGAAACAACGGAGATTGGGATGCATGAGCAAACAAAACAAGCGCCAAACCACCACCAATACCTCTCAAGATCAATCCTCGGCACAATCCCTCCCTCCTCCTTCTCCACCTCCCCCTCCACATCAACCCGACCCTCTCCTCCTCTCCCACCCCCCTCCCCACCACCCCCCGGCTCCCTCACCCCCCCGCTCCCCACTCTCTCCAGCAGCCCCTTAAACAGCTTATTTGGAGCAGCAGCAGCGGAGCACACGAGCAGGCAGCGGTGGTTGTAAAGCTCGTCTGTGAGTGTGAGGAAGCGGCGCGCCTGGTCGTGCACCGAGCGCGAGAGCACGGGAATCTCTGACAGGAAGAGCGTGTGGTAGCGCAAAGCTAGAGCGAGGTAGTCTGGTGGGCCAAGCTGGTGCGATGGGAGGAGAAGGAAGGAGAAAAAGTTCATGAAAGGGAATGAAGAAAATTGTGGTTGGAGAGGGGCGAGGAGGTCTGTGGGGGAGGAAAAGAAAATGATTGGGTTCTGAGGTGCCTCAAACATGGTTGAGCGACTCTTGAATCGGCAATGAACATACGGGAGTGACTGCTATATCAACTTGACGTGCACCTCATAACATGTGCACGTCCTATGTGTGCATGCATATGGTGGCTGGCACCTGTGGATATGATGAACCCAACCCATATGCTTTCGCTGCATGCATGTGGACCCGTGCGAGGCTGCATCCATTATCATATGTGTGGTGTGCACGCATATACAGCATGCGCTCATGCATCATGCATCCATATCTTGCAATGGCATACCGTGTTGGCACACAATTCGGAGAAGGAGAAGCGTGCTATTCCATGCACGGACACAGGGACACGCAGGTATCTGTAGGGGGAAAGGGAATTGAGAGGTAAAGGAGGGGATGGAGGATAGACACGCGGAAAAAAAAGGAGAGGTAAAATCAGCAAGACACTGTCAGGTGTTTGGTTTGTTCCCTGGAGGAAGGAAGGCATGAAGAGGTGGTGATGTAGTTTGGTAAGTAATTGAGGCAGCTAAAAGAAGAAAAGGGGATAGACTCTTTGGAAAGAAAAAAGGTTTGAGAAGAGGGAGAGCAGTCAGGAAGAAGAGGGATGGGGAGAGGGAGAGAGGAGGAGAAGTGCGTTCTGACCTTCCAAACATGACAGGAATGTCTTCCCCTTGGCCTTCCACGTATCCTTCCGTCCCCCTGCCTCCTCTTCCCCTACATTCTCCGTGCAACCGCAGCTCTCGACCAACAGCATCGCGCCACCTGTCCTCTAAGAGACTCTCTGAGTGAGGGCAAAGAGGCCAGAAGTAGGAGTAACCAGAGAAGGTGGGATCTAGCGGCGCTGGGGAAGCAGGTTGATGGGATGGACGGGATGAGGGGTTGGTGGAAGGATGAGGAGGAGGAGGTGGTGGAAGAGGAGCGGAGTGGGGATTGAAGGGGGTGGGGGTTGGGGTTGAGATGGGGCCTGGTGGTGGTCCTGGTAGGTTCTGAGAAAGCAAGGTGGAAAGGGTGTGGAGGGTAGGGAGGGTGAGGAGAATGGGGTGAAGAATGAGAGTGGTGAGAGTGAGGAAGGGAGAGGACGAAGGAAAATGGCAACATGCACACTTGCCACATGCCCACACACCCAGCATGGCAACACACCCAGCATGGCAACACACCCAGCATGGCAACACACCCAGCATGGCAACATTGCGAAAAAGCACATTTCCCTTGGAGCATCACGTAGTACTCCTGATCCTACGGGTTTTGAGTCGACTCAAGACATGGCAACATAGTGACACGACAAACACATCTCCCTTGGAGCATAGCATAGCGCACCTAATCCTACAGGAGGTCAGTAGAGGGAAGGCCAGGGCAGATCAGATCAGATCAGATCAAGACACATGGACAGGGCAGGTCTATCCATGTGAGCAACAAGACTCACATGGGCGGGGGGAGCGGAGGAGACTCACATGGGCGGGGGGAGGGGAGGAGACTCACATGGGCGGGGGGAGGGGAGGAGACTCACATGGGCGGGGGAGGGGAGGAGACTCACATGGGCGGGGGGAGGGGAGGAGACTCACATGGGCGGGGGGAGGGGAGGAGACTCACATGGGCGGGGGGAGGGGAGGAGACTCACATGGGCGGGGGGACGGGAGGAGACTCACATGGGCGGGGGAAGGGGAGGAGACTCACATGGGCGGGGGGAGGGGAGGAGACTCACAAGGGCGGGGGGACGGGAGGAGACTCACATGGGCGGGGGGACGGGAGGAGACTCAAGTGAGCAGGAGGGGGAGGAGACTCACGTGGGCGGGGGGAGGGGAGGAGACTCACGTGGGCGGGGGGAGGGGAGGAGACTCACATGGGCGGGGGGAGGGGAAGGGGACTCACGTGGGCGGGGGGACGGGAGGAGACTCACATGGGCGGGGGAAGGGGAGGAGACTCACATGGGCGGGGGGAGGGGAGGAGACTCACAAGGGCGGGGGGAGGGGAGGAGACTCACATGGGCGGGGGGACGGGAGGAGACTCAAGTGAGCAGGAGGGGGAGGAGACTCACGTGGGCGGGGGGAGGGGAGGAGTCTCACGTGGGCGGGGGGAGGGGAGGAGACTCACGTGGGCGGGGGGAGGGGAAGGGGACTCACGTGGGCGGGGGGAGGGGAAGGGGACTCACGTGGGCGGGGGGAGGGGAGGAGACTCACATGGGCGGGGGGAGGGGAGGAGACTCACATGGGCGGGGGGACGGGAGGAGACTCACATGGGCGGGGGAAGGGGAGGAGACTCACATGGGCGGGGGGAGGGGAGGAGACTCACAAGGGCGGGGGGACGGGAGGAGACTCACATGGGCGGGGGGACGGGAGGAGACTCAAGTGAGCAGGAGGGGGAGGAGACTCACGTGGGCGGGGGGAGGGGAGGAGACTCACGTGGGCGGGGGGAGGGGAGGAGACTCACATGGGCGGGGGGAGGGGAAGGGGACTCACGTGGGCGGGGGGAGGGGAAGGGGACTCACGTGGGCGGGGGGAGGGGAGGAGACTCACATGGGCGGGGGGAGGGGAGGAGACTCACATGGGCGGGGGAGGGGAGGAGACTCACATGGGCGGGGGGACGGGAGGAGACTCACATGGGCGGGGGGACGGGAGGAGACTCAAGTGAGCAGGAGGGGGAGGAGACTCACGTGGGCGGGGGGAGGGGAGGAGACTCACGTGGGCGGGGGGAGGGGAAGGGGACTCACGTGGGCGGGGGGAGGGGAAGGGGACTCACGTGGGGGGGGGAGGGGAGGAGACTCATATGGGCGGGGGGAGGGGAAGAGACTCACATGGGCGGGGGGACGGGAGGAGACTCACATGGGCGGGGGAAGGGGAGGAGACTCACATGGGCGGGGGGAGGGGAGGAGACTCACGTGGGCGGGGGGAGGGGAGGAGACTCACGTGGGCGGGGGGAGGGGAAGGGGACTCACGTGGGCGGGGGGAGGGGAAGGGGACTCACGTGGGCGGGGGGAGGGGAGGAGACTCACATGGGCGGGGGGAGGGGAGGAGACTCACATGGGCGGGGGGACGGGAGGAGACTCACATGGGCGGGGGAAGGGGAGGAGACTCACATGGGCGGGGGGAGGGGAGGAGACTCACAAGGGCGGGGGGACGGGAGGAGACTCACATGGGCGGGGGGACGGGAGGAGACTCAAGTGAGCAGGAGGGGGAGGAGACTCACGTGGGCGGGGGGAGGGGAGGAGACTCACGTGGGCGGGGGGAGGGGAGGAGACTCACGTGGGCGGGGGGAGGGGAAGGGGACTCACGTGGGCGGGGGGAGGGGAAGGGGACTCACGTGGGGGGGGGGGAGGGGAAGGGGACTCACGTGGGCGGGGGACGGGAGGAGACTCACATGGGCGGGGGGACGGGAGGAGACTCAAGTGAGCAGGAGGGGGAGGAGACTCACGTGGGCGGGGGGAGGGGAGGAGACTCACGTGGGCGGGGGGAGGGGAAGGGGACTCACGTGGGCGGGGGGAGGGGAAGGGGACTCACGTGGGCGGGGGACGGGAGGAGACTCACATGGGCGGTGGGACGGGAGGAGACTCAAGTGAGCAGGAGGGGGAGGAGACTCACGTGGGCGGGGGGAGGGGAGGAGACTCACGTGGGCGGGGGGAGGGGAGGAGACTCACGTGGGCGGGGGGAGGGGAAGGGGACTCACGTGGGCGGGGGGAGGGGAAGGGGACTCACGTGGGCGGGGGGAGGGGAAGGGGACTCACGTGGGCGGGGGGACGGGAGGAGACTCACATGGGCGGGGGGACGGGAGGAGACTCAAGTGAGCAGGAGGGGGAGGAGACTCACGTGGGCGGGGGGAGGGGAGGAGACTCAGGTGGGCGGGGGGAGGGGAGGAGACTCACGTGGGCGGGGGGAGGGGAGGAGACTCACGTGGGCGGGGGGGGGGAGGGGAAGGGACTCACGTGGGCGGGGGGGGGGACGGAGGAGACTCACATGGGCGGGGGGACGGGAGGAGACTCAAGTGAGCAGGAGGGGGAGGAGACTCACGTGGGCGGGGGGAGGGGAGGAGACTCACGTGGGCGGGGGGAGGGGAAGGGGACTCACGTGGGCGGGGGGAGGGGAAGGGGACTCACGTGGGCGGGGGGACGGGAGGAGACTCACATGGGCGGGGGGACGGGAGGAGAGACTCAAGTGAGCAGGAGGGGGAGGAGACTCACGTGGGCGGGGGGAGGGGAGGAGACTCACGTGGGCGGGGGGAGGGGAGGAGACTCACGTGGGCGGGGGGAGGGGAGGGGACTCACGTGGGCGGGGGGGGGAGGGGAGGGGACTCACGTGGGCGGGGGGAGGGGAGGGGACTCACGTGGGCGGGGGGGGGGCGGGGGGACGGGAGGAGACTCACAGGCGGGGGGACGGGAGGAGACTCAAGTGAGCAGGAGGGGAGGAGACTCACGTGGGCGGGGGGAGGGGAGGAGACTCACGTGGCGGGGGGGGAGGGAGGAGACTCACGTGGGCGGGGGGAGGGGAAGGGGACTCACGTGGGCGGGGGGAGGGGAGGAGACTCACATGGGCGGGGGGACGGGAGGAGACTCAAGTGAGCAGGAGGGGAGGAGACTCACGTGGGCGGGGGGAGGGGAGGAGACTCACGTGGGCGGGGGAGGGGAGGGGGAGACTCACGTGGGCGGGGGGAGGGGGGGGGGAGGGGGAGGAGACTCACGTGGGGCGGGGGGGGGGAGGGGAGGAGACTCACGTGGGCGGGGGAGGGGGAGGAGACTCACGTGGGCGGGGGGAGGGGAGGAGACTCACGTGGGCGGGGGGAGGGGAAGGGGACTCACGTGGGCGGGGGGAGGGGAAGGGGACTCACGTGGGCGGGGGGAGGGGAAGGGGACTCACGTGGGCGGGGGGAGGGGAAGGGGACTCACGTGGGCGGGGGGACGGGAGGAGACTCACATGGCGGGGGGACGGGAGGAGACTCAAGTGAGCAGGAGGGGGAGGAGACTCACGTGGGTGGGGGGAGGGGAGGAGACTCACGTGGGCGGGGGGAGGGGAGGAGACTCACGTGGGCGGGGGGAGGGAAAGGGACTCACGTGGGCGGGGGGAGGGGAGGAGACTCACATGGGCGGGGGGACGAGGGAGACTCAAGTGAGCAGGAGGGGGAGGAGACTCACGTGGGCGGGGGGAGGGGAGGGGAGGACTCACGTGGGCGGGGGGGGGGGAGGAGACTCACGTGGGCGGGGGGGGAGGGGAGGAGACTCACGTGGGCGGGGGGAGGGGAGGAGACTCACGTGGGAGGGGGGAGGGGAAGGGGACTCACGTGGGCGGGGGGAGGGGAAGGGGACTCACGTGGGCGGGGGGAGGGGAGGAGACTCACGTGGGCGGGGGGAGGGGAAGGGGACTCACGTGGGCGGGGGGAGGGGAGGAGACTCACATGGGCGGGGGGGGACGGGAGGAGACTCAAGTGAGCAGGAGGGGGAGGAGACTCACGTGGGCGGGGGGAGGGGAGGAGACTCACGTGGGCGGGGGGAGGGGAGGAGAC